GTTCGTTATTGAAGCCGCGTCGGATTGCTTGTTGCTGCTGGTTTCATACGATGTGAAAAGCTTCCTCTCATTACCCTGGCTTTACAGAGGGACAACATGATCAGTCGGCTTTTCGAACATTCCTCAGTCACAAGCCACTGCAATACGAACGGCCGTTCTTCGGCCCGGGAAGCCTGTGATCACACCGAGATCCGGGGAGAAAACTCGTACCCCCTTTTGGAAAAAGCAAAATTAACGCCGACGGAAGTTCCGATGTACTTCATATTTTAGAAATATCATTTCTGAAAGATGATATATATAGAGTTGGTGCACGCTTAGTCGCTCAGAATTCATCCACCCTCGTGGGAACCAATATCACCTTCCTCGTTTTTTCAACACCTCTCCCCTCTGAATCAACAAGATGGATTTCAAATCGGCTGCCCAGCATGTCGAGACACCCGACGACAAGTCGCCAATGGACGTCGATCCTGATACATTGGTCCAGGAGGCCCAGATCGCCACCGACAAAGAACACCGCATGTCACTGTGGCAGGCTTTGAAGCTGTACCCGAAGGCAATTGGATGGTCTGTTCTGATCTCGACGGCAATTGTGATGGAGGGCTACGACGTCGTGCTCATGGGATCGTTCTACGGTTTCCCCGCCTTCAACAAAAAATATGGACATACACTTTCAGATGGCTCCCAAGGGCTCTCGGCAGCATGGCAAGCAGGATTATCCAATGCTATGAATTGTGGCCAGATCCTGGGATTGTTTGCCAACGGTATCGTCTCCGAACGATTTGGGTACCGCAAGACCATGTTGGGATCTCTCATTGCCACAATGGCCTTCATCTTCATTCTGTTCTTTGCCCCCAATGTTGAGACGCTGCTGGTTGGTGAGATCCTAATGGGTATCCCTCTGGGAGTCTACCAGACCCTGTCTGTCACTTATGCGTCCGAAGTCTGCCCTGTCGCCCTACGTGCCTACCTCACAACTTACGTCAACCTCTGCTGGGTAATGGGGCAGTTGATTGCCTCGGGCGTCTTGAAGGGTCTGGAGTCTCGTAATGACGAATGGGCTTACCGCATTCCATTTGCCATCCAGTGGATTTGGCCCGTTCCGATCTTCATTGGCGTTCTGATGGCTCCAGAGAGCCCCTGGTGGCTCGTCCGGAAGGGGCGACTACAGGAGGCCGTCAAATCTCTTACAAGGTTAACGTCTAGAGGAAACACCGACTTCAATGCGGAGGAGACTGTAGCCATGATCATCCATACCAACGAGGTCGAGAAACAGCTGAATGAAGGTACCAGCTACTTGGATTGTTTCCGCGGTACCAATCTCCGCCGGACCGAGATCTCATGTTTGATCTGGGCAGCACAGAATCTCTGCGGAGCTGGTCTGATGGCATACTCGACTGTTTTCTACCAGCGAGCCGGATTGCCCGTCTCCCAGTCATTCAACATGTCCTTGGCTCAATACGCAATCGGTTTCTTTGGCACTCTCTTCTCTTGGGTTCTCATGTCCTATCTTGGTCGACGAACTTTGTATGTCTACAGTCTGGCTGTTCTTTGCGTCATCCTCTTTGTAATCGGATTTATCGCGATTGCCCCTTCAACGTCGGCTACTTCCTGGGCGACCGGCTCCATGCTCTTGGTCTACACCTTCATTTATGATTCCTCGGCCGGGCCTGTTTGCTATTCGCTCGTGTCCGAAATTCCTACAATCCGGCTTCGCATCAAGACCGTGGTTCTCGCCCGCAATCTGTACAACTGCTTCAGCATCTTCAACGGGGTGGTGATCCCGTATATGCTGAATGTGGATGGCTGGAACTGGAGAGGAAAGGCCGGTTTCTTCTGGGGTGGATTATGCCTTGCCTCCTTCGTCTGGTCGTTCTTCCGCCTACCTGAACCCAAGGGTCGTACTTATGCCGAGATGGACGCTTTGTTCGAACAAAACGTCTCTGCCCGCAAGTTCGCGTCTACCAAGGTCAACATTTTCCACGAGGAAGAGACCAAGGAAGGAATCGAGACAAAGGAAGAGAAGGAAGTCATCGAGACAAAGGAAGATAAATGAGAATTGGAAGTCTGTGGCAGCATATAGTCTGATTTGTGTCTGTTGCGATTTGGGATGACCACATAGTATATGTTTGCCAATGTATATTTAGTTTCATGCTTCTACGAGACAAGAATATATGTTTTCAATAGTGTACGTTGAAAGTAAATTCTAGACAATATCCCATAGAGCAAGACACCTGAAGAGATCGTGTAGGTACTATTGTTGCGTTGGGTACCGAGCGGGAAGGATGCGGGTGCTCCCGAGCCAGCGCCGGCACTTGGGCGGCATCTCGGGACCGAGGTCGGCGGGACAATACGCTTATGTAACCATCAAGGAGCAGATCACAGTGAGCAGGCGGTAAAGCCTGAGCAAAGTAAAGAATGCAATTGAGGTAGGAACAATCTATCTAACATTCTTTATGATGTTTTCTCGTAAAGCCGAGCATACCACTACCCTGGAAAGGAAACAGAAGTGGTATGATATCATACAAAATGCTTTGAATTTGCCGCGACCCCACTTCGGCCATCGGGGTGTACTACGATTGATGGAATCACCAACTTGACGTTGTCTTAAACGCTGTAATCATACAATACGCCACCTGGGCATGTTCTCTCGATTACCAATCCGAGCCGGCAACTTTCTGCAGCTGAAGCCTAAAATAGTTTCAATTCTTCTACCATACCAACCAAGAACAACCATGAGTTTCTCCACGGCAACAACAGCGGAAGTCCAACCCGGATACCGCCAACTTTTCACTGAGCTAGAGAACCGCTTCAAAACTACTAGTCTGGGCAGCGACAAATGGTACATACTAGCCATTACCACACTAGCCGCTGGCCCAGACCCAGAGCGAGCAGACCAGCTCTACCTCCACCTCACCCAGCAAGCAGACTATGCGACCTCAGCAGCCCGACAAGCCCTGATCCGCCGACTGCGCGAGGCGCTTGTCAAAGCCGTGCCTATTATCGGAGTATGCAAGCCCATTGAGTCAATCCTGGCCATTACCGAGGTTGAGCGCGACGAGGACAAGGATTTCACCTTCACTCGCGAGGGATGGCAATGCGACGAGGCCAACCACGAGCGCGGCACTGGGTGGCTCCAGAAACTGTACGCGCGCAACACGACTGGCACGCTGGATTTGTTCAGTGCGCATAAGGACTTTTCTTGGCTTTCCAAGGAGATTACTTACGGGCTGTTCTTGTCAGATCGTCAGATCTTGGATGATGTTGATACTGAGCTTGTTGTGCTGCCTGGTATCATGATTCAGAATCTGCCCAAGGAGACTCATTGGCATATTCGTGGTACGAGGCGCCTTGGTGTCCCTAAGGAGGAGGTCCAGGTTATTTGGGATTGTGTGCAGCTTGTCGCTCAGTTCTTTGATATTAAGCTTCATAAAGTGCCGACTGTGGAGGCGGTTGAGTATGATGTCTAGACTTGGAGGCTCGGCTTGAAAAAGCAGGTATCTTTGGATTTTGTATTTTACCACACAGTATATAAATGGACATTTCTACGAAGCTTCAGACGCTGTTATATTCTGGATTTCGGTACGGAGTAGTGTGTTGGTATATCTTAGGTGCAAGTATATCAACCATTACGCCCAGACAGCTTGTCAATGACACCCTATAAATTAACAAATCTTTTTTAAAGTCTTCTTTCAAGTTGTCCTAAGACCCTAAATGATATATAAAGCTTAATATAGAACATTGAAATCCATCCATCGACGGAAAACAGCCAGCAATGACCTACGCTGGCGATAACAACCGATAAGGAAAAAGTTCGACAGCACCGAACGCGGGGCCAAGATCAACTTTTGAACTCCGATTCTACCAATCCCAGACAAGAACACCTCAATTAGCACAATATGGTCAAGCGGAAAGATCCTGGTGATGTCACCATGGGCGGCACCAAGCCAGAGGAGTCCGACTCCGACGAGGTCAGACTTGAACCCCGGACTGTGTGCCGTCGGATTGCTAACAATCATGACGACTGCAGGATATGGACATGGTCAATGTAGATTTCGAATGGTTCGACCCCCAGCCTATCGATTTTCACGGCCTGAAGAATCTCTTGCGCCAACTATTCGACAACGATGCTCAGATCTTCGACCTGTCCGCGCTGGCCGATTTGATTCTCTCCCAGCCAACACTGGGATCAACAGTGAAGGTTGATGGACATGAATCAGACCCCTACGCGGTTTTGTCAATTCTCAACCTGCAGGAACACAAGGTTCGTTATTTCCCGATTTTCGCCTCTTCGTTGTACTAACGATCTGCTCCCAGGATAAACCCGTCGTCAAGGACCTGATCAACTACCTCAAGACCAAAGCCGCCTCCAACCCGTCCCTCTCCGCCGCTTCCCAGCTCCTTTCCCAAACCCCGATCCCTCCTATCGGTCTCATTCTGACCGAGCGACTGATCAACATGCCGTCCGAGATTGTCCCTCCCATGTACAACATGCTCCAGGAGGAGATTGCCTGGGCTGTTGAGGACAAGGAGCCCTACACCTTCTCACACTATCTGGTCCTCTCGAAGAACTACGAGGAAGTCGAGTCAAAGCTTGATCAGCAAGAGTCGCGGCCCCAGAAGAAAAAGAAGAAGGGTGGTGAGCAGGCCGAGCGATTCTTCTTCCACCCCGAAGATGAGGTTATAGAGCGCCATGCGCTGTGTGCTGGCTCTATTGATTATACCCATCAGTCCGATGAAGGGCACGCAGACTCGAAGCGTGCGTTCCAGGAGTTGGGTATCCGGACGAAAGGTAGCTTGATTTTGATTGAGGCGGCCAAGTTTGAGCCTATGGTTAAGGCTCTTACGCAATACATGTCGTAGCCAAGGTTAAGACTTTGTAGTCTGATGCATTTCATGTCCTGTTTACGACCAAATCTATTGAGTTCTAGCTTATTTTGCTTTGCCTTTTGTTTTCTGTATATCCCGAGGACAGTGTTGCGTCGGCCGCGTCATTCTCATAAATGTTCAGGTGCTCATTATTCCCATTGTGTGCCCTTGAGTCGCTGCATGAGGTACTCGACCTCGACAATCTTGGTCAATGGGATGACACATTCCTATCAAAGTAGCAAAGAAGTCAGCGAATATACACCTAAAAGCAAAACCCCAAATGTCATTTCGCACCTTGTACATAGCAACGACAGCATCAATGTTAATCTTGGGACCATTCTCATCAGGCAAAGCAGGGTCAGTGCCATAAGTCTTCGCCTTGAGGCCCAAACGCTCAAGGACCTTGAGCTCAACAGCAGAATTAGTAATAGCAGCGTCGATCCCCGCCCGGTCCTCGGCCTTGATCAGACGCACAAAAGTCTCAGGATCCTTCTGGAACTTTGACTCGGCAACGAACTTTCCAAAATGAATGCGGCGCGATAGCGCCTGCAAACAAGCAACGTCGCAGGTCGCCGCGGAGCCGTAGTTCTCCTGTGTCTCGCCACGGTCCTCCCGTCCAAACTTGGGGCACACTGCCGGTAGGACCTCGCTGATGTATCGCTCCTTGATCACGTCGTTGACGCAGACATCGTTCTCGTGCAGGATGCGCGGGTATACTAGCGGCTGCAGGATTGGCTCTTCAAGCACTTCCGGGAAGAAGGGGTACTCGTCGGGCGATTGGTAGCGGCGAACTCGGGACTGTATGCGCTCTTGTTCGCGGAGCAGGTAGTCTAGCAGACTGAGCTCGCTGTTGGGGATTTTGACGCCGCCGGGGACGTAGATGGTCTTGTTCAGCGGGAATTGAACCCGTTCGATCAGATGAAAGGTAATTGTGTCTTCTAGTCGACTGCGTGTCTGTACTTTTAGCTAGCGACTCTCATTGTGGTGGAGTCTGGGGAATTGTGGTGTTTCGAGCTATAGTGTGCATTGAAGGATATGGCGGGGGCGGGGGAAAGATATGGGGAGTCTTGCAGCTGAAGGAAATGGTGAGAGCTCACATCAACTGGAAACGAATATTAGCAAGGTCTAATGCCTTGAGAGCATCGGAAAGGTCAATGGCGGTATCCATGGCTTGATATATGGTGATGTGTAGATGGAGAGTCTGTGGGACCGCGAAGTGAGTTCCGGCTTCAAGTCCACTCCGCTCGTCTTCCTATTTATACGTTGTAGAAGAGGGGGCGGAAAAGAAATATGCTGTGTCAGAAAGCTCTACATCATTCTTCTATGCAGGGCTCAACAATTTCTGAATAGAAAAAACGGTGAACAAACACTAGAACCCTTACAATGCTCTAGTGTATAGTGATCTATCGCATTGGGTACTGTTGACCATATGCGACCGAGGCAGTTGCAGAAATACCACAATCGAGAGTCAACACACTTGAAAATCCTTGCATTTTGACCAAATATTGTTCCAAGTCACTTGAATTAGGGCAAGTCGAAAGTGACAGCGCATACTCCGCACACATTGAGATTTACATAAGTACCTAACTGGTTTTGGCTTGTAAAAGTACCATACGGCAGTACCCGGGGAACGCGGTAAATCCGCGTGACACCAAGTCTCCTACTTCAACCTACCGCAAGCTTTCAACTTTCCTCTTCTCATATCGCATGGGTTTCGGTTGAGCCCAAGAAACTCTCCGTCTCATGGAGAACCAGCGTCGCGACGACTCACCGTCGGGTCTGTCAGATATCGTCGAGGGCGATGGCCTTTTGGGCACCGGCTTAACGGTAGGCTTTTTCCCACCCTCCGACGCCTCCCACCAAGCTACAGACTGATTGGATTTCATCTGCGGTAATTGCAGACTCGTCACCTCGAAGCCTTCGGACGAAAAGTCACAACGACCGCAGGACACCTGATCGGACCGGGCGAACAGAATGCCACCAACTTGCACAATGCTATGTCCGACATCCACCGCGAGCTGCGTCGACCGGCTACGCAGCGCAAGGTGTTCTCTCTAACACAAACAACACCGACCGACCTTGTCCGCTCAAAGCTTTCAACTACCGAGATCCAGTCCCGTGCCCTTTCGTTCCTCTCGGATGATCTTCTTGCCAACATTCCTGAAGACACCAGCTCCTACTCCCTTTTCCAAGGCTTCCAGGCCTCCGTTCCCGATGAGCCCGAGAAGAAGCGACACCGAAGGCGGAGCTCCAAGGGGAAGCTTCTCAAGGACGCCGAGAGAGGCGGCAGCTTGAATGCCGGCCCGGCCGGGTTAAAGGACCAGCGGAAATCACTGAGTCGCAAATTGGAGTTGATGGGAATCCGGAAAAACATGTGCAGCGCAGAGATCCACGAAATCGATAACAAGGTCGCCAACTTGCACAAAATCCGCACGATTGTTCTCGATCGATTGGCCGGCTTGGAAATGGACGAAGCGGGATTGGAGCAAGAACGTGGGTCAATGTTTTAAGACAAACGAGATCATGCGGAGAAAACTGATTAAAATGGAACAGTGATCGATCTCGATAATAAGCTGGAAGATTTCCCAGAAGAGGAATCACAGGACACACCAGTAGCGACGCCGCGGTCAGACGGCCAGGATGGTTCTATTGTGTCATCCGGAGATCCAGCGATGGACGCTTCGTTCATGTCAGAATCGATTTACGAGAAGCTCCCCTCATCTTCGCCGAAAAGTCTACGACATCGAAGTAATCGTATGGAATCCTCCTGTCTGATACGCGAATCACAACTGACAGCTGATTTAGGGAAACGGTCGATGCCAATTCTACATGAACACTTTGCCCCAGGGTCTTTGATCAAGGAAATAGAAGCGCACACCGACATGGTCACAGCAGTTGACTTCGACTATCCGTTTGGTACTATGGTTAGTGCTGCACTAGATGATACCGTGAGGGTTTGGGATATGAATGTCGGCCGATGCTCCGGTTTCTTGGAGGGACACAATGCCTCGGTTCGCTGCTTGCAAGTCGAAGATAACATTGTTGCTACGGGATCTATGGATGCCTCTGTCAAGCTGTGGGACCTGAGCCGTGCTCGGCCCACGACTCGGGACGGGCGCCTCAACAAGCACGAGCGTGACCAAGAAGAGGGAAAGGCAGAACACAACTTCCCGGCACCGCCGACCTCTAACCTCGAAGACTGCAATGTATTCTCGCTGGAGGCACACGTCGATGAGGTGACAGCGCTTCATTTCAAGGGTGACACCCTCATCTCGGGTTCTGCAGACAAGACGCTCAGACAATGGGATCTAGTCACAGGCCGCTGTGTCCAAACTCTGGATGTTTTGTGGGCGGCCGCCCAAGCATCGTCGTCTATGATGGGAGACACTGACTGGCGACCATCGGGTCGCACGCCCGATGCTTCGGCCGACTTTATTGGCGCAGTACAGTGCTTTGACGCCGCGCTGGCATGCGGTACAGCAGATGGCATGGTCCGTCTCTGGGATTTGCGCAGTGGTCATGTCCACCGGAGTCTCGTAGGACACACGGGGCCGGTCACATGTCTTCAATTTGACGACGTGCATCTGGTCACGGGTAGTCTTGATCGCAGCATTCGGGTACGCACTCCAGTTTTTGTTTTCCTGCTTACCATTGTTTCTAATTATCTACAGATTTGGGATCTACGCATGGGATCTATTTATGACGCTTACGCTTATGACAAGCCGATCACCGATATGATGTTCGACTCCAAACGGATCGTGGCCGCTGCCGGGGAGGGTGTGGTCAAGGTCTATGACAAGGCCGATGGCAAGCACTGGGACTGTGGTCCAGGTGTTGGGCTTGATGACGACGGGCCACTCCCTGCAACCGTTGAGCGGGTTTGTCTTAAAGATGGCTACCTTGTGGAGGGACGTAAAGATGGCACTATGGCTGCCTGGACATGCTAGACGTGTAAGATATCTTCCTAGGGGGTGCATACTTGGGGGGACGGGGGTCTCATCTTCTTTTCAACTCAGCCTTTTTGCGTCCATTGTATAGTATTCAATCTATGTCTTAGTAGCGACCGGGCGAATCAGGAGCAGGATCACGTTAGTTATTCTATACACAACATGAACAAAGTCCTTCAAACAGGGATGTAAGGAAATGAAACAAAAATAGTGTCAAGATCGTAGCAGTCCGAGGCGCAAGGGTTGACAAAGAGATCTAACAACAAAGACAATGGAAGTGAGACTGTATTCTATAAAGAACAACAAAAATATAAAGAACAAGTAATTCCATGCAGAGTCCGATGTGAATTACAGCTCAAAAAGTCGAGATTTGAGATTCTTCAGTGATCTTCAAGAGGCCTCCACCCTTTTCCCTCGTCTACTTTTCCTCACTTCACTCAACCTCCTGAGTTTCGGATCCCTGGCGATTCAGACCAAATTGTCGCTCTCATTGAAACAGAGCGAACACTTCTCGACCTCTTGAGTGGCATCACCCTCGGATGCTGATAGCTGGCAGCTGCAAGTCACGTTACCGTCGCGTCTGCGCGTCTCTCCGGGGTCGCGATCTACAGGCTTCGGACATCTGCACACGGCCTGTCGGAGCGCATTTTTAATCTGTTCTGTGGTAAGTCTGAGATTGTTGTCACTTCTTTTTCTTGCTCTGTAGTTGTGGTAATGGCCCCTGGTCCACCATACTTGCATTTGTTCCATTTGCGTGTCATCATTTCCAGTTCGTGTCGCATTATGTCTTGTACATGAATGTGTGGATATTGTGTTTCAATCAATATTTAGTATCTGCAAGGCTTCAATTGATACATTGGCCATCCCATTGTCTCCGTTCTTTTGCTTTACCTGTCCAGTCCAAAGCTGATATCTCAAATAGATACAAAACAAGAACAAAGTATAATCTTTGGAATCAACCCTAGGGGTTAACAACACAGATGCCGCCCAAACGTGCTACACGCCGTGCTGGCGCAACTCCTCAACGACCACATCAGGAACCTGAATTTGAGTCAATACTCGACCTTGTGCAAGGGCCTGTTTTGCCCAGTGTTCCAGTCCAAGCATCATTCAATTATGGCGCTGCTACTACCACAGCATTACCTCAGCGCATGTCGATCCGACCCAACATGGGGATAGATCAGATAGCTGGGGTAGTTGATGCCCGTCTTGAGACTGCTCGAAAGCGAACAGCCGCTACGAAGAAGAAGCAAGGCGTTCAAGCACGCCAGCCAAAGCGTGAGCCAACCCCCGACCAAACCCAGCTTCAGCAGTCGCTGCATAATGCAGTAGACGAACACTCCGATAAGACTCCTTCGCCTCCGGTTCCACATTCGATCTCTACGGACTCTAGTCCTGACGCTCAACCCCCATTGCAACGACACTTGTCAAACTCTCCGCTTTATCCATCGCCGCTTCAACGGATGGGATCTCCTCGTATTAATAATCCTCCGGGCAGCAGCTCGCCATTCCGCCACAGCTCCGTTGATAATGTTTCTGTCGCGTCTTGGAATCTAGAACGTGATATTAACGAAGATGACCTACAAAGAACGCGGCCAAGCAAACATGGACGCAACATCACAGCGCCCCCTCGACGAATTTCTGGCCTGGCTAATGTTCTCGAGGAGGATGAGGAAGACACCGAGTTTGAACCGGCGATATATCAAGATTTCGAGCCCGACATCCCCAAGGAAAGCGTTTTGCGTCGATGGCTAGGAGCAGTGCGACCCCGACGTCGGGAGCCTGACAGTCATCGGGAGCCAGAGAGTCGTCGGGAGCCAGAGAGTCGTCGGGAGCCAGAGAGTCGTCGGGAGCCAGAGAGTCGTCGGGAGCCAGAGAGTCGTCGGGAGCCAGAGAGTCGTCGGGAGCCAGAGAGTCGCAATGAACCCCCCAGCGAGTCACAACGAAAAAGCTGGACGCAGACATTTGAAGCAGCAATGGAGGGCGGCTACCAAAATTGGATTCGGGCTGCGTTCTATCTGCTTTTGTTTCTGAGCTTCATCTTCGTGCCCCTCATCGCCGCAAAGTTTCGTGAATATCTAGACCACGGTGCTCTGGATTGGGATTCCTCTTCGAACATAAACATATCTAAACCGGAAGTTTTCCATAGCCTTCGGAGTCAGGTATCAAAATTGGACGTTCAGATGTCATCCTTGTCGAATGAGATCAATTCTGTTCGATCAGAACAGTCGCTTTCCAACGTTCATGATTCAGCGCCCACAGATGCAAACCTCCATCGGAAGCCAGTCTATAAGGTAAATTTCCTCTCGGTGGCGTTGGGGGCAATGATTGACCCAGCCAAAACTTCACCGACTTTGGGTCCCAAACAGAGCGCATCCTTACGAGCACTCCTGTGGGCGAGCTCGTTTGTTGCCAGGCGCTCCATTCGAGCACCACAATCTCCCATGTCTGCCCTTACCACGTGGGAAGAGGTAGGCGACTGCTGGTGCAGTGCCCCTCGCAATGGAACGACTCAACTATCTGTACTTCTCGGCCGCGACATCGTGGCAGAAGAGTTGATAGTTGAGCACATTCCCGTGGGCGCTTCTCTCGAACCAGAGGCGGCACCTCGAACAATCGAGGTGTGGGCTCGCTTCAAAGTGAACCCCCACAAAATACCAGTCAAAGCCAAACCAACACCCGAGGCTAAACCTGGCCGTGTTGGCTTCCTGAAAGTCTTCGGAGATGCCACAGTGTCACAACCGCCACCGTCCACCCAGGCCCCTTCGTCCCGTGAAACGGGACTTGGAGGATTCCTAATCCCTGGAATTGGCTCACTTCACGGGCTGGTAATGGATCTATTGCGTCGGAGCAACCCCTTTGAGCCCCCTAGCGCTTACTCGGATGACCCAATTCTCGGCCCCAACTTCTACCGCATCGGGAAAGTGGAATACGACCTCCACGGCCCGGACTACGCGCAAGCATTCAAGCTGAACACCATCGTCGACGTGTCAACCATCCGTGTGGACAAGGTTGTTTTCCGAGTGACTTCAAATTGGGGTGCAAACCACACCTGCATCTACCGATTCAAATTACACGGGCACCTCTAGGCCCGGCTACGGATATTCAGTTCTCATTGAGATTCGCCGAGCTTCGCGTCTCTTACAATTCTCTCATGTATTTACCTCCCAAGGGATCAGGTTCTGGCTGGTCTCGAATTTGGACAAAATGTGCTTTGCGATGATACCTTGCATGGGTGCGACGGCGTTACCGGTTGGGTTTGGGGGTTTTTTGCCTCTCATATTTATCTTTAGAGCCATATCATATGATAGCCACGATTTCATTCGGTTTCCTGGCGCTTTGCTCTACCAACAGCACGATTGCCTTCCTTCAGCTCTTGTTCTCGTACGTCGTTAGCCTGCTACTTCGGGATTCATACCCCTGCAGGCCTATAAATAGGTATACGGTCACTGGTTTCTATTGGTTGTCACTCTTCGCCCTAAAATTTTTCTTCTCTTGTCACAAACAACTTCTTTCAATGAAAATTTAATATACATCATCTAACAGATTAATTGAAAGTCCCGCCGAACCCTATAGTACAATAGTTCTTGCATGTCAACACGTTGTCAGCTAGCTCGTGTTGCCTTTGCAGTAAATGGCCATGTATATAATATATATGGCTTTGATTAATATAAGATGAAAAAGCGACGGATGGCTCTTGCCAACTCCTGAAAGTCGCTCTTTCCTACATTCCTCGTTCGCATCCGCTGACTCCTTCTATATCTCTTGTACTATACTATACCCCTGGGCGCATGGCGGGTGGTACGCGCCGACTCCTGAGATTCCCGGTTGTCTAATCCTTCTGGTATAGGGCAAAATGTTGTCTGTCAGGCTACCACGGGGAATATTCAGATGGTTAAGAACTTTGAGTCATGTCTGACTTCTATTTTCTTGCAGGTCCTCGGATTAAGCGCTTGTGGAAAATAATATAGCGTACTAACACTACGCCACAATAAGAACCATGATCTCTATTTATGGCTTAAATGGGGCTATATCTGTTCTGTTTCTTGTCTGAGAGCGCTTTCTCCCATCTACCGATTTTCAATTCAAGTCATATCCCACAATCTATCGTCCAACCAACACAGGAAACAGAAGTAGCTGAAACAATTGGACACAGACTGTGCTCGCCTAGTGGATGTTAACGTGTCACGCGAATGTGGTAGAAGATGTGGTATACTGTCTTCTACTACATGTTCGCAGCGTAGGCTTTTTGGGCAATGTCCTCCAAGATGTATTAATATGAAGCTACAACCCTCAGAAGATTCTTGATATTCAACCCAGCTTCTCAGTTCTGCAAGACTTCAACTCCTATCATCATGACTGCAGTGCGCTCAGAGTCTTTGCACTGGAAACCCCAGCCGGACACAGACTCATCGAACACTTCGACTCGTCAACAGCTGACGATGACAAAGAAGCAGGCGATAGACTTTGTCAATCAATGGTACGAAGCTGGCCGGCCAATTTTCACCAAAAAGGCGCTCCAAGATCTCGGGGAGCAGCTGAAGAGCCGACGTACCATGGGAGACAAAGTCACTGTGACGGGCCTCACCGGCGCTGTTTTCGAGGGTACAGTGAACTTGGGACATCGTTTCTTCTCGACAACCTTCGCAAATCCCGTTGAACGGGAATATATCTAGTAAGTTACTCACCTCACGCTTGATTTACCTACTGGCAGATTTGTTTCAATGAGAGCTGACACATCTAGCTTGGACCTTGCCATCGACTACAATCATGCAGGAAGGCTCATAGCGGACATAATGAGATATCCGGATGGCATTGACATTCCAATTTCGGAGCTCATTCCCCTGCGACTGACGCATGAGGTATACCCGTTCGGTACAAAGGAAGAAATCTGGAGTAGCAAGTATGCGGGTGTTACCTTCGAGAAGGAGAGACGGGCCTGGGAAGCAAGTGAGGCCCACCGGACTCTCGAAGTGCTTTTGTCAACAACCAGAGCCGACAAAATCAACAACATCGTCGGGATGGCCTGCGGTAGCCTGTCCCGGCCAGGCAGACCCAACTCTGCCTTCCAGCACGCGTTGCTGCTTACCGCAAAGGACTGGCTGAGAAAGAAGCGGCCGGGTGAGAAGGAGCTCTTCTGCTACGTGCAGGATCCGGAGTACACACTTGTCGATAGGGAAGTCCTCAACGGTGTCGGTATCCAGGTGGTTGACGATCCGGATGGCTTTCTCAAGGTTGATGACCGGTCGATTGTGCTATCTATAGCACCCAACATACCTGTCAAAAGTATCATCGTGGATATCGCTAGACCTGCCATGGTGATCTGGCTTCGCTTTGGACAAACGAAGGGCACTGTGTGAGTGATTAATTGGACTGTTTAATGTGTGCTATGAGATTTGATCCCAAAGCTAACATGAATGCTCGCTAGGATTGACCCTGACTCGACCCCCCGCATCACGAAAATGATGGAGGAGTACGAGGATCATAGACTCGATCCGAAACTCGTGTCTGACGGAAAGCTCAGGGGTGCTATGGTTTTTATCCGGAAGGATGTTGTTACAGCCATGAAGTCGGGATAGGGGCCTCTCTGGATATCTCAGGCAGGTTGGGAGTATCGAAACATATCATTTCTTTCGTTCTATAGCCGCTTTCTCTCCACTCAGCTACCAGTAGATATTATGATTACTATTGATTGTACCCCGCTCATGTGATATGTAGGTGCATGATGAATGCGCAGTTACGCGCCGGCCGCAATAGCAATGCCCGTATATAAATACATACGGCCCCAAAATAAATTATTCCCTTTTTTTCCTTTTCCTGTTCATACTCAAACCTATTCTACTCAGATCCCCAACATGAGCGACATAAACAATATGGAGCCTGTCGAGGGAGAAAAAATCTCGCGGTTAGATCTTGACTACAAACTCACACATTGTTACTTGGTTGAATCTGGGGAGGTGCCAACCCTGGAGGAAGCAAAGGCAATTATCGATAGACTCTACGCATCCGGAGTGCCCTTTTTCACCAAAGAGATCATTCAAGATATGTGGGATCAGATCAAGCGAGACCCAGTCGAAGGCGATAAGATACTTACCAAAGACATAACCGGCGCGGTTGTTGAGTGCGACGTGGAGACGGGAAAGGTTCGGCAATGGTGGGGGGACGATCTGGGATTGGAATTTGTGTGGTGAGTACATATCTAATAGCCTCACATTATGGCGAGAACTAACATCATCTAGCAAGGAACTGGTCCTTTCTTACCGATGTCGAGCATCCCTCAGGAACGAGATCAACCGAAGAGATTACCCGTTGTCGCATTGGGAGCCTTGCTCAGTCAGTGTCATGCATCGGACACACGAATGGGATAGCAAGACCGAGAAAATCATCCCGCGGCGTGGTCCCCTGGACCGTGAAGTGGTCACAAAGATATTCCAAGACAAGGCCGGGGAATGGAAGGAGAGTCTAGCCTGCGAAAAACTCAAGACAATCCTGTTATCTTCTGCAAAGAATCATGAAATTGACAAGGTCGTCGGGTTCGCTCTTGGCACGATGTCCTTCCAATGTTTCAATGCGGATGGCAGTCTGTATACCAGGAATGGGTGGCGATCTGCGTCTCAGCATGCGCTCCTCGTTACCATTATGGAGTGGCTAAAAGAAAGAGACAACAAAGAAAAAGTCGTATGCTACGCACAAGACCCGGACTACACCGAGGTAGACACGAAGATTCTGGACGAGGCCGGCATCGAGGTGGTTGAAGATCCGCGTGGTTGGCTCGAGGTGGACGAGCACTCGATCATACTCTCGATAGCACCGAATGTGCCTGTCAAGGAGATTATTACGGACATTGCTCGGCCTGCGGTCATTATTTGGTGTCGAGTGGGGGACAACGATGGACTTGTTCGGGGGCTGTGAGTGTCAGGTCATATTCTACCCTCTGTTCAGTCTGTTAATATATTCGTTAGGACTGATCCTGATTCTCCGCGAGTCAGAGCAATGCTAGAGGGTTATGAGCAGCATGAGTTTGGCCCTGATGAGGAGATGTTCTCGGACATTGTGCTCTATATCCGGAAGTCGGTGGCTGCCCCACGTCCTAGTTCAGATGGAAGATTTTCTTAGTTAGTTAGACGAAATCTGGGGATATGCCTGAGGAACTAGGTGTCAGTTGTCGCCAGGTTATCCATGTCGTATACAACTTACATCGTTGAACAAGGATCATTTGGTATTCCCGTATAGTCCGCGTACTTGCAGCCCCCTCATTCGCAAGAAATAATTAACTGAATGTGATAATCTCTGAAAAGAGGGAAGAAAATCGTAAAGTATTCCATTAATCTCCTTTAATCTCTCGAATAAATTTCAATCTGGTTGCGTAGGATCCCTCAACCCCCCACATATCGAAAGGCGGAAGACCCTCGACTCGGGACCTTCCTCTGGTCACGCGCCTTTCGTGCAGCCCATCCTCGTACCTACGCCCCCCAATGGCCTCCGAGCGAGCGATCGATCGGGAAGAGCGACAGGGCCTTGTAAGTCTTGTCCGTTTTTGCTTTTTCAAGGGGAAACAACCCCTCTTTATACCTGACGTTGGACATGGGGATCGGACATTGTGAACGTGTTTCGGCATGGGTTCACCAGTCACCAGATCAGATCACCTGGGAATATCTAGATCTCGACTAACGCAGAGAATAGCGTGCCATTCGCGATTTCCTTAAGGCCCGAAACTCCTACGATGTCCTGCCGCTCAGCTTCCGACTCATCATCTTCGATACGTCGCTTTCCGTCAAGGAGAGTCTGAACATTCTGATTCAAAACGGTACGTTTGTCGCGATTTTTCCTCCTTCTCTACAAAATTGTTGAACTCAAGCTGATCGTGAGCCCGGAAATCGGGAGGTACAGGCATCGTTTCAGCTCCGTTGTGGGACTCCAAAGCGTCCAAATTCGCAGGTCTTCTAACCACTTCCGACTACATCAATGTCATCCAATACTATTTCCAAAACCCCGCGGCGCTGGATCAGATCGATCAATTCCGCCTGGACAGTTTGCGAGGTGCGTTGGTCGTGTCGCCCCATCTCTGCAGGTACACCCCGCAGCTAACGGGAATATACAGAGGTTGAAAAGGCGCTAGGCGTCGCGCCGCCGGAGACTGTCTCTATCGACCCCGAGCGCCCTCTCTACGATGCTTGTCGGCGCATGCTAGAATCGCGCGCCCGCCGTATCCCCCTCGTCACCAGCGATAGCCAGACCGAGCGGCCCCACGTTCTCAGCGTCATCACGCAATACCGTATCTTGAAATTCGTCGCCGTCAATGTCCCCGATACGCAGCAGCTCCGTCGTCCACTGGGCGAGCTCTTGCTTGGATCGTATGATAACGTCGCCACGGCTTCGATGGATACCCCGGTTATTGATGTCATCCATATTTTGGTCGAGCGCAGCATATCCAGTGTGCCGATCGTGAATTCGGAAGGCGTGGTGTATAATGTATTCGAGTCGGTCGATGTCATTACTCTGATCAAGGGTGGTTTCTACGATGACTTGAGTCTCACGGTTGGGGAAGCATTGAAGAAACGTTCGCCGGTAAGTGAACCTCCGTTCCTAGTGATATCGTTCTGATACTGATGTTCTGCGCAGGGTTTCCCGGGTATCTACACATGTTCATTGAATGATGGACTGGATACTATCTTTGATACTATCCGCAAATCTCGAGTGCACCGTCTCGTCGTCGTAGATGAGCACTTCAAGCTCAAGGGCGTTTTGACTCTGAGTGATATCCTGCACTACATTCTTCTCGAAGGAGAGAATGAAGAAGCATGATCGAGTTCGAGAAAGTAATTTCCCCATACATATTCAATTTTGCATGGTTCCGGCGTTTTGATCTGTCCTGTGGCTCTTCGAGACCTCGAAAGACGAAGATAACATATGAAATGCCTGAGAGCATATGGACCCAGGCCATGACTATTCCTATTTTTTTAATTTTGGGCTTTACGAATGTACAGAGGTAATGACATGGTTTCCAAAACCGGTGCTCTCTTTTGTTTTTTACGAGCACTGGCACAGAATAGACTTGGAAGATTTGAATGTCAATGATGCTTAAGCATTATCTTAATTATTGTTCTTCCAGGGCTATAGAAGGTAGGACGTGGCTTCCTCATGTATCTCAGCTCCTTCCTCGAGGGCAGGACCTTGTCCAAGTCACAACCCGGCGCCCTGTTCTAGTTCTACTTCATCACCATCTCTTTCTCTCGTATACATTATCCAAATATAATCATGCGGCGTCTCAAAACTGTATTCCGGTCCAAGACTGAGTCATCTAACCCTGCTGCATCTCGTACTGTCTGGCCACGACGGCGTCCAACATCTGAGGAAGACCCATTGAAGCATCAGCCCGAAACCGCCTCGAATGAGATACAATGCGATGAGGACCCGACAGCCGAAGCAGGACCCAGCGATGCGGACAAGGCACCTGGCTCGGCTGTAGCAGCCCCCGTTGACAATGCCGAAACTGAGTCAACTGCTCAGCACGCCCAAGATACCGGCGAACTTACTCGGTCCAAGAATGGCACCAAGCGTCTGAAGAGAATGGTTACTCGCTTGCGCAGCAGTCTATCCCAGGAAGATGATCCCATTACAGACGCACAGCTTCAAGCTGCACAGGAGGGTGCTCGTAAAGGGAGGTCGAGCTCCAAACCGTTGACTTCCAACCCCGTTGAGCAAGATACTGCTGCCGGGGAATCATCCACAGCTGGCAAGTCTGTCAGGTTCGATAACCCGAAAGAGGGGCGGAAGGTCAGCACTCAAACGACTCATTCTCAGGAGTCCAGTCAAACCGAGGCTACTGTCTCCCAAGCCCCTGCCCAGCACCTCGGGATGCCAACTCAGGGGCCTTTGGGGGAATGGGGATGGCCGGGACTGATGCTGTATTACCCTGACGATAGTAGCAGCAATACCAAAAAGCATACTCACGAGGGTTCGGACCCGTTCTCAGATGGAAAGGCGACCGACGTCAAACAAGGAAAGTCGAGTTCGAGGCATAGTGCAGGTACGAGCCGCGAGGAATCATCCAGGGCTTCTGAAGCGACGCTGGAGCCTATCGCCGAGACTGATTTCGACACAATCGAATCGGTCATCGAACGCCCGGGGGGAAGTTCGGCCAACAGCCAAACAAGTCGAATTAGTTGGAGTAGCACACTTGACTCGCCCAAGGCTATCGCGGCCTACAACAAGATGGCAGCTCAGTTTGGTATCTCGCTTGCCATTCCATTTAATGATACTCCAAGCCCACGTACGTTTTGTCTTTGTTTGTGCCTGGGTTGCCACTGACTATATTATAGCATCAGAGCGCAATCCTGAACAAGCCACGAGTCGTCGTGGATTTGGATTGTTGGGCAGAGTTCGCAAGGTGCGATCCAGTTTGGATGTCGATACAACTCCTTTGGTACCAGCTCCTAAACTACGACGAATGAAAACATTGGCGAATATTCGTCGCCCCAGTACGATGACTTCGTTGCAAGGAAGATCGATTGAGACTTTGGCCCGTCTTGGAGGACATGGCTATCTTATGCTGACGGAATTAGCCCCCTGTCCCGTGCAGCTCCCCGCATACATTGTGGCAACGCTGATGTTTCTGCACAAATATGGTTAGTGGCTGCTTCTTCTACGTCATGACTGAACTGACTCGGGTTCCTGCAGGTCTTAACACTCCCGAGATCTTCGTCCAGCCCGGCGATCTGAAAGTCGCCATTCGCTTGTATGAGCACTTTGCTAGCCAGGTGCTCGAGGCAGAGAAAGATGAATCTAAGATTTCCCTTACGATGCGTGTGGTTGCCATGCCCCAGCTCCGCGAAGACTCAGCGCCCGTCCTGAGTGTCGCCTGGGCGTTAAGGGCCGTGCTGGCGGGGCTTCCAAACGGGATCCTCGGGAGTGTCCGGCTCTACCGAATCCTGAGGGCAATGTACTATCACTGGACCCCCAATCCATCCCATCTGCTCCGTGTGCCAGATTGTATCTCTGAGGCAAGCCCAACGACCGCCGCCCGAGTGCAGCTTATCTGTCTTGCGCTCATTGCCCTTGCGCCTGAGATGCAGCTCGATCTTATCTGTGCGGTATTTGGGCTTCTTTCCTTGTTGGTGAATGTGGAGACCGACGCCCAGGACCCCGGGATGGAGCTCCGTGATCCAGTGGCGAGTCCCAACTTCCACGAGTTGGCGCGGGTGTTTGGACCGCTCCTCCTGGGGGCCAGGGGGCAAGCCAACGACGAAGGAATCTCAGCAGTGGAAAGGGAGATTGAGGAACAACGCGTGGCGGGGCTATTGCTCAATAATTGGCACTTTATCCACCGACAGCTGCGACACTGGACGAAAGAACGATACATGGTGGGCAGAGAATAATTGGACAAAGAGATTCCAGGTTGTGGATGTTTCATATGAGACACCAGATGTTTTTCTGATTGGATTTCTAGAAAGAGTTGAACTTGTTACTTGTATACTGAGGCTGGGATATTCCCCAACCCTGTTTTTCGCTGGCCGGCTTTGAATCCCGTTGGATACCGTTCTTTTCTTCACTTCTATCTCTTACCTTGTTTTTGTTGTTTTTATGTTTTGATAGGCATCCTGGGGTTGAAGTACCTAGTAGGCCAGGGCACGACCGCGATAAAAATACATTCATACATTCCTTTTATCCTTTGACATTCCTCTTCTACCTTTCTTTTTCTTTGGTGACACCCGAATATCATCTCATCCGGTGCCATTCGCTCGGATCTTCTGGACCGCAGGAAGTCTTGTCCGACCGTGGCTCCAACCAGGTCGACTGCACCTGGACTCTCTGCGATTCTTCAGGCACCGACCACAATTCTGCTTCCAAGGGAAAGCCAGACTTTGACTGTTTAGGGTTATTAGGGCAAGAGAGCCTGTCTTAGCTTCCTTAGTGTGCTCTCTTGCTTTCTCTCCCTTCCATGTTTTAGAAGGAACATAACTTTCGCTCTAAAGCTTCCTTACCTTGACATGTCTAACCTCAAATCTGCAATGCCATCAGGGCTACCATCAGGGTTACCTGGCCTTGCAACCAATCTCATCGATCCATCACCATTCACAAGCTCCTTCTCAGGCGATTTCCTGGGTCTTCCTATTCCAGACGACGACCAACTCTGGGGTCTGAGTCCAGTTTCACCAATGGCCACCGGGTGGGATAAGGCCGACTCGGCAGCATTTGCCCATTCGGCACTCGAGCGGGACCTCAAAAACGCCCAGGTCCGGAATGGCCAACCAACCCCGCCCCCATACGATGACCAAGGCCAGGACCTCTCGCTAGACATGATGGAAAGCGTGAGCAAACACCGGCGCCTACGCGAATACAAGACCACCGCCAGTCTCAGCCCGGACTTCGACGAAGCCCCACACGAACGCGCCAAGCGGGCCAAGTTCCTCGAGCGCAACCGTCTCGCTGCAAGCAAGTGTCGCCAGAAAAAGAAGGAACACACCCAGCAGCTGGAATTCAACTTCAAGGAACAGTCCGAGAAGAAGGAGCAGCTGGTTGCGGAGATTGCCCGGTTGCGCTCGGAGATCCTGGGGCTGAAGAACGAGGTGCTGAAACATGCTCAGTGTGGGGACGAGCCCATTAAACTTCACCTCGCCCAGATGGTCAAGAAGATTACCGATAAAGATGGCGCTGCGCCTGCGGGGCTACCGGAATCGCCCGTCAGAATAGATAACCCCTCTCTCTCAGTTTCTCCCCTTGAACACACGCAGGCTCCGGCTACGGCGGCGGTGGCTGTGTCTGCGCCGGCGCCGACGGCCATGTCTTTTGGCTTTGATGATCCTCTACAGCTTGAGCCCGCTGCGGCGGCGGCGGCTGAGGCGTTTGAGCAGCAGATGCGTCGGGAGTCGGAGGCTTCGCTCGTCTCTGAGGGGTCTTATTCGTTCTCGGCGGAGGATACATTTGATGATTTGATCAATGTGTGAGTTTAACACGTGCTGATGTTATGTGATAACGACTTTCTATGTGGAGGTAATCCGGGCAGCAGGTCTGTCAGTCTGTCAGTCTGGCGTTGAATGTGGGATTTTTGGAGCCTTTCAATTGCGATCCAGTGTGGAACTGGAGGGTGTCTGGCGTTTTTATTCCCTCGACTTGAGTAAACGGAAGCTTTTTGATATTCGTACTGTTTTTGATTCTATTCTAGCTGCCTTGAGGGCGATTGGCTAGGGATTGCTGCTGTGTGTATCTTCTACAATAACATGGCAGATGGAAATGAATTAGTTTCTATCTAATGTTTTATATAGTAGAAACAGAATAGCTAGAATTCAAGAGCGGTCGACTCGATGCAGTCGATTTGTATCGTTTAACATGTACATGGCTGAGAGACAGCTATCGTCCACGGTTCGACGTAGAAGGTTATATCAATTATGTCACTGATTGCGTATAACTATTTCTATTCCAAGGGATAGGTCTTCTACTTCTTATATTTCGTTCCAATGCCTCTTTCTAGCTGGTGTGGAGACTTAATCCCCGCATTTCGAGCCGAATGGAAAACATTTACTGGTGACTGAGCCAATCGCTGCTCCTCCGAGAAGGTTAGTTATATAGTTCGAGAGTGCAACTTAGAACAGGCTCACTTAACAGGCAACAAATATTCTGTTAGCACCCTGTTCTTTTTTGGCTTCAGCTATCTGGCGAGCTTCATAATACGATCCTGAGCATGCATGGATTGTCAGGCGGGATTGAAGTCTAAGACTGACACTTTAGAGCACTGGAAGAAGTATCAGGTTTCGCTGTCTTGGTAGGAAAGGTCTATTTTCTCTCTTTATGATGTTTAGACTGTCTTATAACATATTAATACTTGATTTTATACGAGATCAAGAGCGTTGCTACACTCTGCGGGTGAATAAGGTGTATAACACCTCGAATTTGAGACTGAATACAACTCTACTAGTGTTAAAAGACATTTATAATAATATCCTCTTTTTCTCACAGCATTGTAACTGTACAAAAATGATATTCGAAAGGGTTTGTTTAAAAGAATATGTCTCTTTAGACTGAAGTCCAATGATCTGCAGATCGCCAAGTCCCGGAGCTTCTCCCGCAAATTCACGTCTTTCAAGACTCAACACTCAACACGAGTCCAATATCTCTATGCTTCGGTCATGTATTGGTGGCGGTACGCTCCGCTCTCTTTGCGTCCGTCGCTTGACTCGGTCAGCCCTTTCATCCACTAAAGCCCAATTCTCCTCCGCGCCAACCCGCTATCTCCAACCGCCAGCCTCCGCCGATCGCGTTCCCCTCCGCAAACAACTCAAGGAGGATGCCAAAGCGCTTAGATCACACAAAAGACAACGCAAGGAAACAGAGGAGGCATCGAGGGAAGAATGGGAACTGACAGTGGGCGTGGAGATCCACGCGCAATTGGATACAGAGACCAAATTGTTTTCTCGTGAGTACGCCTTTACCTCGGAGACTACGAGTCGGCGTCTCATCAATTGAATAGGGGCGGCAACTTCGACAAGCGATATCCCCAATTCCAACGTTGCGTTGTTCGATCTGGCCTTCCCAGGTAGCCAGCCGGTTAGTGTTATCGTGTACAATGCTGTGGAATCGCGACAGGGCTGATCTGAGCTAGGCATTCCAAATCGCGACTCTCTTACCAGCTCTCCGCGCTGCCATTGCACTGAATTGTGAGATACAGCGAGTGAGTCGGTTTGATCGGAAACATTACTTCTACCAGGATCAGCCGGCGGGGTATCAAATCACACAATACTATGGTAAGTTATTGTCCTTCAAGCCGTGGAATATTCAACCCGCGGAATATACTTACGTGCTCTAGAACCATTCGCCCGAAATGGCTACGTTGACCTATTCGATTACGATGGAATCGCCCAGGAGGACGGTGAACGGATTCGTATTGACATCAAACAACTCCAGTTGGAGCAAGACACAGCCAAATCCCAGGAATACCGGGGCTCAAGACAACTTCTCGACTTCAACCGTGTGTCCCATCCTCTGGTCGAAATCATCACCATGCCGCAAATCCACACTCCTGCAACGGCCGCAGCATGCGTGCGGAAGCTGCAAGCCATTCTACTATCGTGTGGTGCCGTGACTACGGGCATGGAAATGGGCGGTCTCCGCGCAGATGTCAACGTCTCGGTCCGACGCCGAGGCGAAGCACCGGGACAATATCAGTACGATGGAATCAGCGGGCTGGGTCAGCGTACCGAAATTAAGAACCTCAGCAGCTTCAAGGCGGTAGAGGATGCCATCATTGCCGAGAAGAATCGACAGATCGAGGTGCTCGAGAGTGGCGGTGTCGTAGAAGGAGAGACACGTGGGTGGACGATCGGCAGCACTGAAACTCGCAGACTTCGCGGCAAAGAGGGCTCGGTCGACTACCGCTACATGCCTGATCCTGATATTCCGCCACTGGTCATTGGAGAGGACCTGCTCTCTAGTCTCAGAGCGTCTATTCCGACAGCACCAGACACTGTTCTTACACTGCTCGTTGGATCCGAGTTTAATCTGCCAATCGAAGATGCCAAACCACTCATCGAGCTGGACAACGGAGCCCGCCTCGAGTACTACCACGATGTGGTGGATATCCTCCGGACTCTTCAAGTAGGTCAAGACGACAAAACGCGCGCCGGTCTCACGCGGGTGGCGAGCAACTGGGTCTTGCACGAGCTAGGCGCTCTCCTGGCCAAGGCAGACCAGGCATGGGACGCGGAGACCGTCCCAGCCCGATCCTTGGCGCATCTCATCGACCACCTGCAGCGGAAACTCATCACCGGCCCGACAGCCAAACTAGTGCTGACCACCATCTTTGACGGGGACCAACGGCCAGTGCCGCAACTACTGGAGGAGGAGAATCTCCTACTGCGGCCGTTGTCGCGGGAGGAGTACCTAGCTCTGGCGGAGTCGGTTATTGCTCTAAACCCGCAGATGGTCGAGCAGATCCGTAGCAAGAAGCAGCTGGGTAAACTGGGTTGGTTTGTGGGGCAAATGATGCGCAATGGGGAGAAAGGCCGGGTGGAGGCACTCAAGGCAGAAGAGGTTCTCCGAGAGTTGATCCTGAGATAGCTTGTATAGTATAGTATGGAATGTATTCTATGGCATCAATGATACCCTCATGACCGCGGCCGAGACGGTGGCCTTGCGATTATTCTCTTCCCTGTAGGCTCCCGGACCTCCGATACCACCCCACGCGCTTGGATAAAAGCCCGGAAATGAAATGACAGAATTGCCGGTCTATCTCTCGCTATAAGAGGTCAAACCCAGGCTTGTGGGACACCGAATGGCCCTAAAGGGGTGCGCTCTCCTCAACCTGTACTTAACGGAAGTGATGGAGATCCGGCGGAGTCGCTTTGATCGCTAAAAGCAGTTTTTAGCGACTTCGCGGGCATCGCGCAAGGAATGAAACACCGACCCGGTTGAAGTCGGGGCGATGTGAGAAACGTTATAAGACAAGTCTGAGATATTTAAAGGAAGAGTTATCCTCTGTTTCTTTCACAAATCGACATCAGCCTGACTATCCTGACGATTCTTCAGATATTCTTATCGAGAGCCCCCACATTTTAATTCTTATCGAGATCTTCAAGAGCTCTACACCTGAACAGCTCTCTTTCTTCTTGACTCCTCTTCCACAATCTCCCTACTTTCTACAAAATGACACAACCTTCAACCATTACCTCGAGGTTCCTCTCACACCCCAACCAGCTCGGCGTTGTTGCCGTTGGTTTCAATGGCGGCCAGGTAAGACACCCCGTGGAACTACAGCTATAGATCATGAACTCATACTAAACCCCAACAGTGCAAGAAGGGCGTCGAAGCAGCACCGATGGCCCTCATCGAATCAGGCCTCCTAACCCAACTCAGCGAAGACCTCGACTACGAAGTCTACCACGACAGCAAAGTCCACTACTACGAAAATGACATCCCCGCCGAAGACCCCGACCACCGAGGCATGAAGAAGCCACGCGCCGTCAGCGCCGTCACCGAGAAGCTCAGCTCACAGGTCTACGACTACGCCAAGGAAGGGAAATTCGTACTCACTCTCGGCGGCGACCACTCCATCGCCATCGGCACCGTCTCCGGCACAGCAAAGGCAATCCGCGAGCGACTGGGCCGCGAAATGGCCGTCATCTGGGTCGACGCCCACGCCGATATCAACATCCCCGAAACAAGCGAGAGCGGAAACATCCACGGTATGCCGATGGCGTTCCTGACTCGGCTGGCCCGGGAGGAGAAGAAGGATATCTTTGGCTGGATGCAGGACGAGCACATCGTGAGCACGCAGAAGCTCGTCTATATCGGGTTGCGCGATGTCGACCGCGGGGAGAAGAAGCTCTTGCGGGAGAATGGTATCAAGGCATTCAGTATGCACGATATCGACCGGTATGTTTTCTGTTTTGCTTTCCCTGGGCTGTGGTGGTGATCTTCATGCTGACCCTTTCCTCCGCTAGTCATGGCATCGGTCGCGTTGTCGAAATGGCTCTCGCTCACATCGGTAACGACACTCCCATTCACTTGTCCTTCGATGTCGATGCGTTGGATCCGCAGTGGGCTCCTAGTACCGGTACACCAGTCCGTGGTGGGCTGACGTTGCGTGAGGGAGACTTCATCTGTGAGGCTGTGCATGAGACAGGAAATCTGATTGCGATGGACTTGGTCGAGGTGAACCCCAGCCTGGAGTCCAAGGGTGCGTCCGAGACCATTCGAGCAGGGTGTTCGCTGGTGCGTAGTGCATTGGGTGACACTCTTCTATAAAGACGATTCGATAAAGGGATTAAAAGAGGATATTAATTGAGATTTAGAGAATTCAGTCCAAAATAGATCGCAAGAATTGCTGTCAGTCCGAGGGAACGACACTAAATCCCCTGCCACCCCAATTTCCTAAATTTCCCCCTCCCCGGCCATTTTGTTTTCTTTTTCTTAATCTTTCTTCTTTACTCTGTATATCTTGGCCTTTTCTTTCGTTTAGAGATTCATGCACGATTGTAAATATATCCACACCGCACCGACTCCAAAATCCCCAGGGCCTCGAGCGCTCAAGGGCGCCCAATGCGTTGTCCCAGTCACCGCGCCTCACCTGAAACAATAGGATTCTACCAATCCCTTCAGACTCGATTCCCTTGACTCACTTGGCTCACGATCCGGCGATCCGATCCCAAGCCCGCAACAAAATATAGGGCATCCAAGCCTGCGTCGGGCAGTATACAACAACACCAGTATAAAGCACACACTCCACTCCACTCCACAATCGCAGTCGAGCTCCATCACCCATCGCAATCCAACACACACCCCAAGACCTCTATCTACATCCCACAAGCAATCCAATGGCAGTCCGCAGGCGCCGCGAAGTGCGCCGCCGCTACCACTGGCCCGAGCTCCAGCTCAACATCTGGATTATGGTTGTGCTATCGTGCGCAGCGACATGTCTGGGGATATTCTCGTGGTTCATGACTGTGCAATCACAAATGCATCTTGGGACGCCATGGTAAGTGATCTATATTTATCTCTACATTATCCATTATCCGTGTCGCTACGTGCATACTCATAACCTACCCCCCACATTCTTCCCACATGTCATGTTCAATACAGGATCTATACTAACATCTCCAGGCTCTTCCCTTATATGGTTGTCAGCAGCGCACTCGGCGTGTGCTTCATATTCCTAATTATGATCCTTGCAGCGCGCCACTTCCTCTTACCGGGCATTATCATCATCGGCAGCTTTATTCTCTTTGTGCTGTGGCTGACGGGTCTGATTGAGACTTCGCTGCAGCTGTATGGGGTTGTCGGGAATGTGAATGATAATTGCCAAATCTACGTGACGAACAATAAGGCTTGGGGGAATAATATCAATACCTTGGCTTGGTTGACGCAGAGTACTATTTGTGAGTTCTCTTCTATGCCCTCTTTTGTATGTTTTGTATACTGACTTTATAGGCAATTGCTGGAGAACTGCCTTTGCGCTCGAGCTTGTTAACACGATTTTCTATCTTTGGATGATGATTATGTCGTGGCAGGTGAATCGGGATGTTTATGATTGATTTCATTGGTTTTTGTTTTTGTTGTGATACCACCTTTTTGCATCTGTGGCGTTGAATGGAAGCGATATAGCATTGGTTCTTTTTGGTGTGCATAAGATTTGGTTCTGAAAGGATACAAACGAGATATTTCAATCTACATATATAGACATATCATCTTAGTAGTGCAGACAGTATCCCAAGTAGTTCATGGATAGTATATTGAACTGAATTGTACATCGATCCCCACAGATACACAAATTCCCGAGAACTACAGATAAGAAAGAAGACACGCAAAGTCAAATAGACCTAATAAACGCCGCCGCTATGCCAAGAGCGCATTGCAACCGCACACCCTCCGGTTATGACACGGCAGAAAGAAGACACAAATAGAATCCGAAACGAATGCACAAAATCAACCGAGTGCTCTATCCGTCCTCGGCTGCAGGGTCTGCCTCTGCTTGAGGGTCATACCCTCCGCCCTCAAATGCAGCAAGCATCTCCCGTTCCAGCTCGTCGTCATCGTCATCTGGGTCGGGATAGTCGGCCTTTGGAGCGCTGCTAGTTCCCGGTGTCTCAGAGTCAGACTCCCCCTCCACAGCCGATGTTTGGAGACGGTCTGGGGAAACCTGGTCACTACCGGTGGCAGGAGCCGATGTAATTTCTCGCAGCTTGGTGTTGCGCTCGTAAGAGCGTTTGATGCGTTGGGAGAGCCGGGAGCCTTGTTTGTCATGGTCATCTCCGTCGTCGTCTCCAGACTCTTCTTCTTCGGTGCCGCTTTCAGTGTCTTCGTTGCGTTTACGCTTCTTGCCTCCTATGGATGGTTCGTCTAATAAGGATTCGTTGTCACTTTCACTTTCGTCATCGCTGCCCAAAAAGTCCTTGAGTTCATCGTGTACAGCGGCTTGCTCGTCGGCATCATACCCGATCGGCGATGTGTCGTCCAAGCCGAATGACTTGAAGATGTCTTCAGCGTCATCTTCTTGTGTCCATTGGGACCCTGTCACATCCTCGTCTGTGGACGAGAGCATGGATGTTTCAAGTTCGAGCTCACTTGGGGTCAGGGGTTCGCCTCGGTCGTCTGGGTGAAGTGGGAGGAGATAAGGTTCTTCGTCAACATGTCTCCACTGAACCAACGCGTCGACAAGCCATTGTGTCGTCACGATCTTGATGTTGGGATAGCGAGTAGCTTCTCTCACCTTGGCGGTGCGATTGCGGCCAGCCACGAGATGAGTTGTGCGGGCATTCACCCTTGACGAGATCGTCACACCAAAGCTCTTCGCCCATAGCGAGATATCTGCATTCTGGAAGTCTATGCCCAGAGGAAGGACACCTGAAAATACAAGCACCACCCCTCCAAGGATCCGCCGTTTGATCTGCGGCATGATGTCTTTGACATCGGGGACCAATTTAAGATCCACGTCTTTGTCTCTTGAGTAAACCTTCTCTCCCCTTAAAGCAGCTACCCGACCCCCAAGGGCGAGAGTCCGCCTCTTGTCATATTCATCATAGAATTGAGAATGTACTTGTTCGAGTCGGTTTTGCAGCTGGAAGAGTTCTTGGTCATGGTCCTCGAGTAGGTGATGTCGGGGTTTCGCAGATTCGTGGGTTTCTTCGACGCTAGACGATGCTTCACTGGTTTCAGCGAGATTATCCTCTGCCTCCAATTCCTTTTGCTTCTGTAACAAAGGTCGATCCTCCACCTGATGCAATATTGTCTCTTCTTGTGCATCGGTCTGTTCCTGGAGGAGTCTTGGGCTGTCTCCACCACCCATGGTCACCAGCTGTTCTAATGCTGAGACCTGGGCCCCTTCTTGCGTTTTACCATTGACGTGGTGTTCATTGGTCTGCTCCGGTGTCTTCGCTTCGATCTGAGGCTTGTTCGCTCCAATATCTTCCTTCTTTGGGAGGAAACTAGAATTGATGTCACCAATTCCGACGAAAAAGTCATAAGGTGAGACCTTAATAAGATTGGGACTCCACCGCCAGATATCACCACGATCATCAATGATTACCACCATCTTTGTGTCCACTGGAAATAGCCGTTGCAGGTCCTTGACCGTCAAACTTCCGCTCTCGTCTCGACTAAGAATTCGGTCTCCGAAGAGCTTGCGGGTGGGATCAATGATATCAACAATATGTTGGGCATAAGCACGAGTACCCATAGTGTAGATGTGCAACTCATAAATCTCAGCCACATTTTGCAGGAACTCCTCTAGTCCTGGCCGCAGCTTGATGTAATACCAGCATCCACGCATCCCAGGTCCATCGTCAATCAATTGAAATTGTCGCACATCCCGCACAGCTTCGTGGTTCGGGTTTTGCTTATCTTCTCTCCATTCCCCCACTGTCGGATCAACAGTGGCATGGATAATAGTTTGATCAAGATCCACCACCAAGGTCAAACGTCTCGATGCAAGTAACCGGCGTTTCGCATCTTCTTCGACTCGAGCTGCTTCCCCTTTGCTGACCGTAAGTGTGAGGTTATCATGAGCCATGGAGATTGGAGCGCGCATGGAATCTGTTATTTCGGTGTTGTACGTAGATCTGTTCACGAGACAGGTTAGAAAAGCTCAATTCCCGCTGAGAGGCTTATACATACTCAGTCATGTCCTTCCCGCACTCGGCACAAAGTCCTCCAAACTGAATCTCGTGCGCGCAAGGCTCATCGATTTCGACAACATTGACCCTAGCAACAAATTAGAAAAGGATATCAAAAGACAAGGGTCGGTATACTCACGGTTCATCAATAACGTCTCCCTTTTGGATTTGCCATTTAACGATCTCTCCATCAATAGTCGATTCAAATCTAGCCGGGAACCTACGTTTCACCTCGATGTTGTTGCCCAGTCCATCACCCTCAGTGACGGTAGTCTGATAAGTATACCAAAACAAAGCCTCATCCTTCTCAATCGTGTCGCCAGGCTGTTTGAGCAGCGACGTCACGGTGATCGGGTAATGTAGGCCAGTGGGCAGACGGAGAAGCATCGTTGCTCTTCGTTCGCCCCCAGGCGATGTAATGTACTAATTCTCAGTTCCCCAAAATGTATTTTGTGTCCTTGTTATGTTGACAGCGCGAGTCAAGGACGTGTGGGTCGAATGGAGTGATCGCGTGCGATTCCGGCTACGACGCCATCACCGACACGCAACGCGTGTTGAGCTGGATAATATCGGGTTCCGGTGGTGGTATTTCAGCCTATGACTCAGTAGTCCAAGATCGATCAGAGGGATAAATAGATGTGAATGGTGGTTTCGGCAGCGCAATGAGAATCGCCACTCCAGGCGCGGATGGGAAAAGAAAACCGTGCGCCTAGCACAACCTGGCGCGGAGGTCCGAGGCAAATCACACACCAGGCGGATTAAGTCGCTTGAATTTGAAAGGGCGGAGAAGGTTGAAGGAGGAATGTGGACTTCGATCAAAGAAAAGGGAAGCTCATTGAAGTTGTGCGGGGACTCACTCGATCCGGGTTGAGAGCTACTTCCGCTTATGTCATACCGGTACTTGAAAGCCGGTACTTCCTCCTACTAATTGGCGTGTGATCTACTTTAGTCCAAGTATCTTATTCTTCAGAATGGTCTGATACGATGGCTTGATCAAATAGCCCTCGGCATATTTTTATTTATATTCTAGGTCGTAATGACACACTACTAATTTTCTCTGACTGTACGTATTAGAAATTTGACTGTGGATTAATAGCTTAACCAACATAAGCTCCAGCCAATTGCTAACTCAAGTTCTTACATCTAGGAATTTACCGAGGGATCCAGCTGAAGAAAGGCCACTACGAGGGAAGACTTTTCGATAGAAGAATGAGATGCAATAAGTAGATCTTTACCAATAAAGATATCCATTTGCAGTACCAATGAGCGACAGGCCTTAATGAAGGGGCTGTGCCAGCGATCAAAAACAAAAACCCTAATCAACATGCTACTTAGCAATAGGCGAATGAAGTGCGCTATGAAACCATACGTTCAACTCAGAAGCGACATGTATATACGAAGCAATCTCCTTGTGTCACCTGGTTCTCTGATATTCACAGCTCACCGACCGTCGGGCATTTATTTGGCCTTGGCCAGACCGACGGCGTTATTACCGACATCATAGACACTGTACCAGCGGCGCAGGAAGGCATCGCCCAAAATAGCAAGGGGACCCACAGGCTCGGGGAAGTCCATGCCCATGAAGCTGCTGATGCAGGAGCCCTGGACCTCCAGGATGTAGTCGTGGGGGCCAATAGTGAATTTGTGACCGCCCAGAGTGAAGGTGAGGTCGGGCAACGAGTCCCGCTTGTCGCACTCGACACTGTACTGACCAGTGAAGCCCTTGGTGGCGCCGATCTCCTTGTTCCTGTGGAATAGGTCAGCAAACAGATTACATTACGAAGGCAAGCGAGAATTCAACTTACAGAAGCTCGGCCATGGTGGAGGGCAGGGCAATGAGAGAGGTACCAGTGTCCAGAATGACACCGGTGTTCTCAAGTTCAGCAACGTTATCGCCAAGGGCAATGGAGTTGAGCTCGACCTCCCAGTACGCCTTGCGACGAAGAGGGATCTTGATCAGCTCGCCAGTGTAGTGGCTCTCGTCGATACCACCGAAAGTAGCCTCGGAGTTGTCACCATCCTTGTCGGCATCGCCAAGGTAGAAAGCAAACACAGGCTCATCAACCAGCTTCTGGTTGATCATGTGGTAGAAGGGAGGGACCATCTTGTTGACGGAGATGGTATCATAGCCGAGGCCAAGAATACCATCAAAGCGACCGAAGGCAAAAGCCAGACCAGGCTCATTGGTAGCTTCGGCGAAGTCCTGTCCCTCGATCTTCAAGTCACCAATCTGGAGGGTGTCCTTAGACACGAAGCCGCTCAGGCTGCCAGATCCATAGCGAATCTCGAACTCGGAGCCATTCTTCTGATAGGTGCTCGAAGAAGACGAGTCATACTTGCTGTGAAGGAAGCAGGCGATAGAACTGCACTGCGAAGAAGGGACCCACAGGTTGGAGCTACCGGTGTCAAGCACAACCTTGAAGGTCTGGGGAGGAGTACCGATCGTGATCTCGGAGAAGTCTGGAAAGGTCAGCGTCATCATCCAGGACCTAAATTTGGGGGTATTATCGTACACTGAGCATTCAGGAAGTTGTCAACCAGCACGTTGTGGCCACTGGCAGGGTTCAGGGAGGTGTCATGGAACAGGTCCTGGTGCTTCTCGGGACGAATGCCCATGTACTTCTGACCCAAGTTGTGCATATGAGCATCGATATTGTGTGTATCCTATCAATCGATCAGCTTCCAGGGTATTTCGAAGGCAATAGGGATGATGGGATGATCGTACCAGTTGCTCAGACAGAGGGACCTTGTTGAGCTTGAGCTTGTGAACCTCGGCGGCAGCACTGCCCAGCAACGCCGAAGCTGCTAGGATAGTGAATGACTTCATCATTCAAGATGAGAAAAGAAAGTTGTAAATGTTGGATGCAAAGAAGAGAATGACTTGAAGATGGGAGGGAAGGAGGAGATAAGGGTAGATGAGATGGTAGATGGGGGAGGGGAGTGGAGGCTGGAGAGACGATGACGGAAGCGGGAGGGTCACACTAACCCCCCTTTTGGCGATGGACTCATGACATGGCGGAGGATTGCCCTCCTAGTTTACTTGTACGAAGAATGTTTCTTGTTTCTTGTTTCTTAGACCATCACCTCGTCACGTTACTATGACTCCTCTATACTATACTCTATACTCCGTACAAAATCAGTCCCGAGCAGGAGGTGTTTTGCTGGTGCCTGAGCGCAGTTAGCGCCGTGGTCGGACTGGTCGGAAGACACTCCTCCCGCGTACCTGGCAGCTGCAGGATGGTCGATGTGGCAAAAGGCTACGCTCAGATGTTATTGTTCTACAGCAAGCTCTCGTGCCCTGCTGTGTTACAGCTATAAATTTTTTAGAGTGTACGGAGTATTATTGTAGCTCAACATGTGTCTCTATACTATCTAGTCCAGGGACCAAAACCGTCGAGAAAATACTCCGCTTAGTACCTACAAGGGAGAGCCCTTCCAATGCCTAAAGGCTGCCTTACTGTAGGGTTTTCTGCTAGACATATGGGAAAGGCGGAGAGGCGGGAAAGAAGGCCGCCTTCAATAGTAGCATACCAATCGTCTGTTTCTCCAACATAGACCCGGTATCATCCTGCAAATCGGTTCTAGTGGCTTTTCTATCAAAACTGATCTCAATCACAATTCTCTGGCACGGAGTAGACCTTCAGCATCTGGATCGACAGGCGCCACTGGTGGGTCAAGTCCTCTCTCTTGGTGAAATAGCGGTGGGGCGATCGGGTACAGTATCCATTATCACACTCCGTACATTGTACGTACAACATACGGAGTACAGGCAGGCAGACTCAGGGAATAAGCAAATCTCACTTGTTCTAAGACCATACTCGTATGTACTTAGTACAATGCAGGGATCCTAGCCAATCATGATACGAAGTCACGTGGATGAACACGTTTGGAGGAGACTCTTCAAAAGGGGAGCCAGCCTCCCAACAAGAGGCCCAGTGAATGTGTTCTTTGGAGTCACTTCACTCCATTTTCCAACCACATCACGATGCCTCCAGCGACGCGTGGGTCCCAGTACGAACCCGAATCTGAATCGATGTATTTGCTTCATCGCAGACCTTTCCCCCGCGGCCCTCTGATACCGCAAAGCTTCACCTGGCGGGCGGTGATAGTCGGACTGCTAGTCGGAATCCTAATTAACCTTTGCAATACTTATTATGGCCTACAAACCGGGGCTGGTGCTCAACTACCCACGGTCTCAGCTCTTCTCGGGTACCTAGCGATTGGAGCACTCGCCAAATTCAACTTTGCGCCGCTATCCAAAGCTGAAAATGTCTTGATCGTAAGCACTGCCACGGCGACGGGCTGCATGCCCGCTACAGCTGGATTCACCGAGGTCATCCCAGCGCTCGAATATATTCTTGGGCCAAATGAGGGAGGCCCATTCCGACTGGGATATCTGCAGATGATAACCTGGTCCCTAGGGATGAGTTTCTTCGGTATCCTATTTGCGGCGCTCCTGAGAGATCGCCTCATTTTACCGACCCTTTGGCCTTGGCCAGGCGCAACGGCATCTGCAAACGTGATTAATGCAATGCATAGCAAAGAAAAGAATGGATCACAAGATGCAGCAGCAGATCATGCCGAACCGCGAACTGTGGCCAGCTTATTATCCGGCACGGCTAACGATGAAGAGCATGAACCTGTCGCAGAATCAGACAAGCTGCCAAGGAATTTGGGTCTCATTTTGACATCTGCGGCCTGGTCTGCGCTTTTTGTGAGTTTTGTTTACTTCCTGTCTTCTCGCATTATTAGAAAGCGCTAATCAGAATCTAGACGCTATTCATGTTCTTTGTACCAATAACGAAGGATTTACCTATATTTGGCCGTCAAGCAGCGAAGAAGTGGCTTTGGACATTTAGCTTATCCCCTGGCTTCTTTGGGTCTGGGATGATTATGGGACCGGAGATCGTTCTGCATATGCTAATGGGAGCAATCGTTGGCTGGGGTATATTGTCCCCCTATGCCAAAGCTAAAGGCTGGGCTCCAGGAGATGTCGGTGAATGGGAGACTGGAAGTCGTGGCTGGTTAATTTGGATAAGTCTGGCTTGTCTGATGGCAGACACGCTGGTAAAAATGATTTGGATTTATCTTAAGGTAATATGGGAAAAGTATGGACATCTCCTTCCGCGAGTCCGTGATGGTAGTCTTAGTCTCTTATGGCGACTAGGACTAGCTGGCCGACCACGTGGATATGTCCCGGTGGGTACTCTCAACGATGACAATGATTCTTCGGACGACGATGAAGACATACCCGAGGAACGAGGATACTCTACCACCGTGCTAGCACTCGGTAGGAGACACATGAGCCCATACGGTGGTTATTTCCTGGTGGCGGGCTTCATTGTGTCAATACTAGCCTGTATCCTCGCCACACATTCAGTCTTTGGGAACAAAATGCCTTGGTATTACACACTTGTCTCGATCCTGCTGGCCCTGCCGGTGGCGATGACTGGCATTCGTGGTCTGGCGGAATCCGACTTCAATGCGGGGAGCGGTCTAGGTATGTCTTACTCTATTTCAGATCTCGTGTCCTCGTCATTCCATAATATCATTCTTGGTCTATTAAAAGAGATGTCAACTAACAAATGTCTTGCGTGAACAGCTGCCCAGCTGGTTTTGGCCGCCATAACCCCCCGCTCAAACCCGAATAGCGTGATGATCAATATTCTATCTGCTGCAATCGCAAATGGGGGTGCCAACCAGTCCGGCGATCTTGCCTTTGACTTGAAGATAGGACAACTTGTCGGTGCGCCATCAGAAGTCCAGACTTACGGCCAGATAATAGGATCGATTTTCGGCGCGCTTGTCTCTTGCTTCACGTATAGACTGTTCACCAACCAATTCCCGGTTCCAGGAGATTTCATTCAGGTACCCAACTCGTTTCTCCAAGTCAGTACCGCGAGAATGGTCTTGAATAAAGGCCTTCCTCCCGGCGTGGGTGGTTTTGCCCTGGGCTTTGGAATTCTCTTCGCCATTGCAACAGTAGCGAAGATGAGCTTTCAGGACAAGTGGTGGCATGTTTATATTCCCAGTGGAGTTTCCTTTGCCATTGGTAAGCCGCTATCTCTCTATCACGATGAAATTTATGCCAATGATCTTTAACCTTGATTCCCAGGCATATTTACTACTCCTGTTTTTACTCTATCGCGAGTTTTAGGAGGAGTTTTTATGTGGGCATGCCTTCGACGCGTACCATCTAAACGCCTATTATTTGTCGTGTTGGCCAGCGGCATGCTGCTAGGAGAGTCTCTCGGCAGCCTTGGAGAGCTTCTTTTATTCGCTGTGAATGCTCCACTCATCTTGGGTGATTGTGGCAGGGCACGGGGGAGACGGGAAGGCGGGAATATTGTTGGTCAGACTGAATTGGGCACGACCTCGTATTGAAAGAGATGACAAACTGTTGGAATATATGTATTCCTGGTTTTAATGATATCATTGATTGCTTACTTTGTTCCATCCCGTTTTCCTTTGTTACATCTGAACAAAGTCATGATTCATCTGAAGTTACATCTGAAGGAGAAGTCATGAATCATCTGATCTTTGATTTACCGAGCTATCCGCAATGTTTGACTACTATAAGAAAGCCCCAAATTGTATTGAATATTAGTTAGACAAATTGACTATTTCATCCCATGATATACACTTTGATCTCATCTTTGACCTGACACTTGACCGCCTAGCTGTTTATCTGTTTAAACACTACGCATTTGACCCCTCGAGAGTGCCTTACAAAGCATTGTGCCTAGTTCTGCCACACTCCAACAGTTATGAGCCCGGCCTGACCCTTTCATCTGAAGCCAACATCAACTTTCCATCCAATCTTTTTCCATCAATCCAACATCCATCCAATCTTCTTCCATCTGATTTTGCCATTATGACAGAAGTGAAGTCTTCAATTACACTAAGTCAGCAATCTGACTGGCTAGTCTGGTATGCACATATCAGATCAATTGCTGTTAGCTACAGACTATGGGATTATGTTAATCCGGAGGAAACAATGACCCTGCCGATGCCACCTGAACCCAATCGTCCCATCTTTGCCGAGACATTTCCAAACGAAACAATGTTTAGTTTGACCAATCATCAGCTAGCTCTCTGGCAAGAAAGGAGACGAGAATACGAACTCGACTACAAACGATTTGAGACGATTGATAATAGGGCACGAGCCCTATTCCAAACAATTATTGGATCAATCTCAATTAACAATAGACGACTAATTGGCAACGCCACTGCTAGTCGAGATGCTTTATCCACGTTGTATAACATCTATGCACCAACCAATGAATCCAGAAAACGTCACGTGATACGCCAATGGCATGCTTTACAGCAAGGACCGTGACGTGATCGATCAATCGAGAAGTGGCTTACAAATTGGGAGAATATCTAACTAGTGAAGAGGGGACCCCTGAGGGGCACCGACAGCCCTGCCTGCGAAAAAGGTGTGAGAGCAGAGTCGTCACTGGGAGTAGTAGGGTGCTAGAGAGGAGAACACCATGGGGTGACTACTGAGAAGAGAGGTGGAAAGGTGTCTGCGTTGCTATCTAGGCCTCGGGAGTGCTTTTATGTCACATAGCCGCTTAATCATCCTGCTCTGGAAACCCCCACTGCACTAGTTAGTTAGTTAACTAGTTAACTAGTTACACAGAAGCATCCCAAACGAAGATCGCCGAAGCCACAGGATCACGTGACGGTCCTTGCTGTAAAGCATGCCATTGGCGTATCACGTGACGTTTTCTGGATTCATTGGTTGGTGCATAGATGTTATACAACGTGGATAAAGCATCTCGACTAGCAGTGGCGTTGCCAATTAGTCGTCTATTGTTAATTGAGATTGATCCAATAATTGTTTGGAATAGGGCTCGTGCCCTATTATCAATCGTCTCAAATCGTTTGTAGTCGAGTTCGTATTCTCGTCTCCTTTCTTGCCAGAGAGCTAGCTGATGATTGGTCAAACTAAACATTGTTTCGTTTGGAAATGTCTCGGCAAAGATGGGACGATTGGGTTCAGGTGGCATCGGCAGGGTCACAAACAATTTCATATAGTTTTCTTCATTTGACCACTTCTTTTTTAATCTCCAGGGGCCATTGACTGTGAAATTGAAATGAGACCACTCTTCTTCTTCTCCATCGCTCAACAATAAGCGTACCGTTCGTTGTTAACCCAGAGCGGCGCATCGATTATTATTCCATTCTGATCGTACCACATGCCACAGGCAATTGCCTCATCTTCTCTTTCAACTATATCATGACTAATTCCACTTTTTTCAATCATCTTCTTGACCAATTTTGAAGGCTCCCACAAATTAACGTAATCGAGCTTCCATTCATTAGCCTCCCATTGTGCTGCATGAATAACGGCTTTCAACGATCTCAGCAATTCATCGTAATTGACTGATCCGGGGTGTTCATTCTCCACAACAAGGCGCAGTATATTGAGTCCATTTTCGTTCGATTCCTCTTCGGGGTGGCTGTAGTAACAGTGAGTCCATACCACCCATATCTGATTCCCCGGTGGCCCTGCAATTGCCCCTTTTAGCAACGGGATCTTTCCCAAGAAGAGTTCGCTCATAAACTGTTCCTTCTCTATGTGCCAAAGCATATGATCAATATCTGGGATTATCACCACGCGCCTTTCTACATTCGCCGAAGTCTTCATTGCATCACGGATCATAGTTTCATCTCTGTCGCAGAGCTCAACCAGGCTGGTCTTGGACAAACCCTTTGCCTCTGAAGGCCATGGTATCCGCGCGGGGTTGAATGTATAGTGAGAATTTGTGGCATTGACGTGCCATCCCAGCTTTGTGTAGTAGCTTGGGCCGATATCTGAGTATAGGATGCTTCCGACGCAAGGTAAATGCTCCGATTGCCAGCCATAGAGTATGTTCGCGAGCTCTTTCATCAACCGTGCCGCATAGCCTTGACGTCGGTGGTGGGGTGGAGTGAAAACACTAGCGATCCCATGAACAATGTTCTCGGTCATATTGCCTTGGGAGTCGCTAGTTATTGACCTTTTCCGTATGGTGTCACAAGAAGATAATATCGGTCGTTCATCTGGGGGGACTTGGAATCCGTCAGAATCCACATCGTCATCCCTTCATTCTTCGCCAGTGAAATTGTTTTCAAGTACTGGAATCTCTGTAGACAAAGCGGCAAAATATCTGCATTGCCCCAAGTTGATGCAGTTATTGTCCATAGTTTGATCTGTTCACTTGATGTAGGGTGGCTTAGATGAAGGGATGGCGAATGAGAGTCTACCAGGTTGAATCCTTGAAGATTCATTTTGATTTCAGGGCTGGCGCGTTCAAGTTCATGAAAAATAAAAACAATCCCCTTAAAATAAAAGAAAGAAAAAGGGTACTGATATGATGCTGCAGCGTAACAAGCCAGACCAAACTCTTTTTGCGCCCAAGCAACGTGTTGATAACAATTCCTCGTGGGCATATGGAGGTTTCCCTATGTGGTCTGACCATCGCATCCCTACTGATTATTCCCAAAGTGGCAAGAGACGATCAATTGGACATGTGTTGCATGCAAGAGCCCGTCAGCACTAGTAATGTGACTTCTTGCGCCATCTTTTACCCAGCTGAACTGGCGTTGCCTCACCCACAATATTTACACGACTCGGTGCTTTTGTTGCTTCCTCTTACCAAAGAATTTGGAGTTACTTCGAACTTATTCATTTTGTTGAATAATGGAAGTTGCAACGGACCTACCTGTTACCACTGGCAATATCTACTTTGCCAAGCCCAAGTCTTGGCCGGAAAATGAAAAACCGTACACGCTCTTATATGATCCTTCCGGGGAAACCGAAATCAAATTGAGTAATTTCAAAGTCAATGATGTCCATCCAGTCCCCATCAGAGACATGCGACAGAAGAAGAACGTGCTATCAATACACCGAGAAGGGTTTATTTTCGCCGAATTCAAAAGTCAAATGGCCTACGAGGACTATGGTGATGAGTCCAAATTGAAATCAGTACTCGCCGAAGATATCAAAAACCTCTTGATCGAAAAATTAGGAGCGAAGGCTGCGTTCGTCCATGAATGTGTGGTTGGTCTTTCCGCTCTCTTCGTATTGCATTTCCCTCTGCTAAAATGTCTTTTGCTCAAAGTTCCGTAAAAGACATTCAGGGCCATCCGCGGATGGTAATAAAGGGACTCCAGTTCCCGAAGCGCATACAGGTATTTCTTTTCTATATGTCCATTCTTATGGCTCATTGCAGTGGACCATTCAAATAACGAGTACGGAGTATAAGACTACACCTTGGATTATACACATCAACTCATCGAAGAGTTGGCAATGTCTGATGCAGATCTCATCCGAGCAAGGAAATTTCAAATGATCAAGTATGTCGTGCCAATATTCCTATTGATTGTCACCCACACTCACCTTACAATAAGTGTTTGGAAGCCTTTACGAGGACCTTTGAGGGACTGGCCGTTGGCCTTTTGTGACTATTCCACGTTGAACAGAGACGATTTGGTTCGAGTTGATGAGGTTCATCGGGAGGGTATTCTTGAATCCCATAGCGTCCAGTATAATACATTGCAGGACTGGTATTATCTCAGCGACCAGACTGTCGATGAGATCTTGATTTTCAGGTCTGTTGATTCTGAGATGCAAGGAGAAGGTAACAAGTTTGCACAATTTCATGTTCTCATTGAGTTCAGTTGGGCTAACAGAATTAGTCCCTCACGCATCATTTTTCGACTCTCGATATCCAAATGAATCACCAAGAGAAAGTGTCGAGCTGCGTGTTCTCGTCGTGTATTGATCATGTGGTATGGCACAGTTCTAAATGGGTATTGGTGGCTAACAATGCGATGTCTTCTTCTTAAGTATGTATGCAATTCAAGTTTGATGGACAGCAATAAAAACTATTCTGATTACAATTTCTTGAAAAAGGAACAGGCATATTCAAAATGAATGGATGGATATAAGCAATGTAACATTCGAAATCAGAAGTAAAACACAACACATTCCAAGTTTATATCACATTTTCCGGGAGCAATTTCTAGGTGCTGTCAGTATACATTGTGGAATTGAACAGCCAGGTTTCTCATCCTACCTCATCGGAAGTTTAAGACAATGTTTCTCACTGTTTCAACCGTTCCAGAAACCGAGAGAAATCGTCCACTCGTAAGACTTTGGTTCCGTCAACAAAGCTGTCTTGATTTGGCGATGCTCCCTTGCGACCACCTAGCGCACGAGCAAATTTCTCCGAGTCAAGATGTGCAGTACTCATCGTGCTCTGTGGCCAGTGTGCTTTCCACGGCTGTAGCTTCTCGGAGGTCGAGTCGCTGCTTGATTTAGGAACAATTTTGGGTTTTGAACTGGTGTCGGACATTGCGAGGCCTTTTGGTTTGGTTTGGGTTCGTAGAGAAGGAAGTGTTGCTTAGCGCTTTGTCTCGAATATCAGACAAAGGAGAAGTACAAACCCGTACTAGGCTTTATAGATGGGGTTCCCCGCTCGAGAAAGGGGGTAATGGGGTAATTGGACGTGGCAAAAGGAATCAAATGTTTTTTTTCGTGACTCGATGCAGAAGTATGCATACATATCACAATGTGGCTGTGAAAAAATGAATGGTGAGCCGCCGGAGCCCAGTACGCGAATATCTTGACAACCCTCCCATTATCCCTTCCAGAGTCTTTGATTGTCATTTACCCCGCTTTCCTCTCTCAACTCTTAACGATGCAACTCAAACTTGCGTCCGATGGACGCCGCAAGATTATCGAGGACTTCTTTCCCGATTCTGAAAGGCATGCAGCAATCTACAAGGACCTCCATGAGAACCCGGAGCTTCCATGCCAGGAGCAGCGGACGGCAACGGTTGTGGCAGACCGGCTAGAAACTATTGGCTTCGAAGTCGAGCGCGGAATTGGAGGCTATGGGGTGGTTGGTATTCTCCGCAATGGCTCGGGGCAAAATGTCCTCCTGCGCTCCGAGCTTGACGCTTTGCCTCTCAAGGAAAATACAGGCTTGCCTTACGCTAGCAAAGTCGAACAAGTCGATGCGGATGGCATCAAAAAGGGTGTCATGCATGCCTGCGCCCACGATATGCACATGACCTGCCTGCTTGGGGTGGCGGCACTGCTGCATGAGGCTAGGAAGTTATGGTCCGGCACTGTCATTATTTTGTTCCAACCAAATGAGGAGCGGTTGCTCGGTGCCAAAGCAATGATTGATGACGGGCTGTTCAGCAAAATACCCCTGCCTAGCGTCTGCTTGGCACAACACTGTGTTCCGACCAAAAGCGGAACTATCGCCGTGAAACCCGGGCGCGTTCTGGGCTATCTAGACTCACTAAATGTCCGTGTGTATGGCCGCGGTGCGCATGGCGCCACGCCCCAGCTGGGTATCGACCCAATCATTCTGGCTGCGAGCATTCTCACACGTCTGCAGACTATTGTCGGCCGTGAAATGGATCCTAAGGAGCCTGTCGTGATAGGCTGTGGAACCTTTCATGCTGGTACTGATGCCAGCATAATTCCAGAGTATGCCGACTTTGGGGTCGACGTGCGCACATTCTCGGAAAATACCCAAAAACTTGCCAAATCTGCAGTGGAGCGCATTATACAAAATGAGTGCAAAGTTTCCGGCTCCCCGACAGCTCCTCGTATTGTGACTACAGTCAGTAGCCCCGCTATTGATAACGACAACGTGGCAACAATTCGATTCACCCGGGTGCTAGAATCGTATTATGGAAGTGAATCCTCCAAGGTTATTCAAGTGATGCCACCGGATATCGTCGCGGACGATTTTGTGCTGCTCTCACTTCCGCCTGGTGGAAACCCAATACCGTACGTGTACTGGAACATTGGCGTGACAGAGCCAGAGACGTGGGAGAAGGCAAATAGAGAAGGCAAGTTGCGAGATTTACCTCCAACCCACAGTGCTCTCTATGCACCAGCAATTGAGCCTACCCTTCGGACCGGAATCGAAGCATTGGCTTTGTCTGCCTTGACATTCCTTGAAATTCTTTGATGACATGCAGCACATTACATTGCCGGTGAAGCAAAAACTCAATGGTGTTTAGCATGAGCAGAGAGAAGAAATTAGGATATTACATGTTCATTTATTTTACCCCGGGGCCTTCTAGTGTGATTCGTAGAATTCATCTTTCCTATTCCCTATATCGACAAGAAGACATCAAAAGACTTCAGAACTGGAGTTTTTCCCCATTCCATCTTAGGAAGCTTCCGGAAATATCAACAGTAGCCTCCTCTATGATCTTAACCATCCCTTTGACTGACTGTTCCATATTGGTATTCCCCGACCACCTACTGAGCTTCGTCGGAATATCACCTGGGTCGAGTGCAAGCATGGTGATGTTGAGATTTTTAGCTTTCATCTCATGGGCGATCGTGACGGTTTCCATGTTCAGCGCTGCTTTGGCGGCTCGATAGCTGACATACTCTCCAAAGTCATTCTCTATTACATAGGTTAACTTTCAAGTTACTGTCATGCTTCCTTGACACCTACCACCCAGAGATGCCCAAAAGGACGTGATGTTGATAATTTTGCCAGCTTCGCTATTTTTGAGGCTGGAGAGGAAGTATTTTGTAGCCAGAAATGGGCCCTACCATGGAAAATGAGCAAGCGCGCGAGCCCTGGTGAAATATGATCAAGAGAACTTACAACTGTCATCACGCGAAATTTGTTCATCATATGTTCGGCAGTTGTCTCTTCCCAAGAAGCCGGGTCCACGCCAATGCCTGTTGAACTTCATCAATTTGGGACTTCTGATCGGACGCCTTTTTGAGATTATTGTAAGTCATACCGGCGCAGTTAATCAGAACATCCAGGGGCTTTCCCTCGCCGTATGTCTTGGCTGCAGCTGCAATGCTACTCTCGCTCAGATAGTCGAGATCAATGATTTTAGCGCCGGTGGCTTCAAGCTGATATTATTAGTGAAATGGCCCCATATCTTCTTGGTGAGAATTGGCTTGCATCATGAAATGAGGCGTCAGATCTAGTATCCGCTCGGATAGTACCAGAAACATCCCATCCACGTTCGGCAAATGCCTTGAGTAGATTTAATCCAATCCCTCGATTTGCACCTGTGTGATGCGTTAGCGCATTTGTGCAGTTGCTTTGCCATCTGTAGTGGTATTGAACCTATAACGAGAATGCTAGGTGCCATTTTCAAGACAAAGAAATTGGAGGGGCTATGCGCTGACTCGTGGGAATAGAGTGGTTTATATGTATATGGGTGAAATGCGGGTGAGCTTTTTTCAGGAGTCTAGACTACCCAGGTGGCTAACTTCATAAAGTGCAGAACATTGGTCAGGCAGCCACGACCTTGTCTTTTATTGTAGCCGCCGGGTGCTATTTATTTTTGGAATCATATTCTAGCCAATGAATATACGGGTTTCAGAGACCTGAGACCTAATAAAATGGACCTGAGACCTCCGTCGGCCATGCGCTATTCACATGAATATATTCCAGCCGAATAACCACCGGAATTTGAGTCTTGAGTCTTGAGTCTTCCTGGATTCGTTCCACAAGGTCAATGACGCTCTGCCAGTCGTGTCTATAATACTCAGATATGACAAGTACTGCAGGGGGTAGCCCCCCCTCTAATGTACGGAGCACACCCGAGCAATACACCAAGAGCATCCACCAAGCCTGCATGAAATCATTACAAACGGACCTCTTTTCAAGTGCACACTATCAATTTCTGTCAGATTTCCTCAAGTCTACTTCCCGCCATGATCTGCCGGCACGCAGCCCTGGTCTAGGAGCAGAAGCTCCAAGTCTTCGATCCCAGGATCGCTTCACTTATGTCGTTGTGCACACGATTGCCAACGGAGCCATCAAACGCCATTGCTTTGACCATAAAACAGGCTTAGAGGACATTTGGAAATTTCCTGATGTACAGCCCGGTACAGATCAAATCGTTTTTGTCCGAGGATCACTGTCTCCTGCGTGGGTGGGGGTGCTCGGCGCCAAATACCAAATCGACCCAGAATTCTTTCGCCGACATTTGCGGTACCTATCCCAGAACGACTTCTCGGACCTACCTTCATTGCCGTCTGCATCGACCAACACAATCTCATTGCCCGTGACTTCGTTGTACACTCGCTCCTTTGCGCTCAGACAAGATCAAGTGAGAAGGCGGCGTCGCGAGGACTACGATGTGGCGAGAAGCAATCAGCAAGCCATTCGTCAGAGTGCGAGCACTGGCGAGTCTATCATCCGAAAGGTATCGACCCTGACTGATAGACTAGTCTCGGTAGAACATGATATTTCGATTTATACGAAAGAGACAGTGAATGGCTGCAGACTTGGTGAGTCCTCGGCGATCGATCTCAATGTTGATTTGAACTAACCTGGAATAGCCTTTGTTCTTCTGGATAATGGGTTAAATTTGAATAGACCTGATGGCCCACCATGCTTCAGTCGACATGACTCCCTGTTTAAAAACACCACATCCAGCAATTTGTCCCTCAATCCTATTCTTATTCCTAGGCCTGATACCATCCATACTGGTGTCGCCCATCCAGTTATTCCTGGCCACGACCGAGATCATGCAAACCTCAACTCATTTTGCCATGTCGCGTCGCTCTTACCGTTTCATTTCGGGATGTCCCTCAGCGAAAGACATATTTCGCCGACGCCACGTCCAACACGTCCGAGCATCATGCTACTATTAAAGGAGGTGTTCATACTTGTTGCAGGCTCTGAATGTCAGTTTCTCAATCGTGTCCACAGCGTGGTGAAGGAAGAACAAAGGAACCCAGGCGACGAAAGGCAGATGGAGCTTGCTCTCAATACTCTGGTATACATAAAGACTCTGCTAGATGAGCACAGATCTCGATTGCAAGGGATAATTACCTTCTTGGGCCGTTGCAGCTCCCCTGACTCCGATTCAGATATCGCCAGGCGAGACTCATGTGCTGCCGCAACGGCCCGATCAGTACCTCAAGGAGAGATGATGGGCATAATCTACGGGGACTTTGAGGAACTTCTGAGTCGCAACAAATCCCTGGGCGAGTTCTGTGTCGGAAGCATGGATCTCATAATGAACAACGCTATGCTCAAAGAATCGCGGAAAGCTGTCGAAACAGCAGACGACCAGAAGCGGTTGACAATATTGGCATACTTCTTTCTACCATTGAGCCTTGCCACCTCTATATTTGGAATGAATGTGCAAGAGTTCGGTACGGGAAATCAGCATATCTGGCTCCCAGTAGTTACTCTAGCTGTGATTGTTCTGGTCGCCATGATCCTTTTGAATCCGCATTACTTCAAGTCTTGCTGGTCCAAGTTTGTCAAGCGACGACAGCCTGAAATTCCCACCTACCAGACCCAAGGTGCCACGATGCTGTTCAATGATTCAATCGTCAATTGACGCCTCTGATGTGGAGGAACGCATTTCCTGTACAAATCACTAGCCTTATCTCTCGCAGACTGTGCAGATGCTCCATCCCCACACCGCTGGAACGCTTCGGCCTTAACTAAATAATGCCTGGCCAGTTCTGGCTCGTAGTGGGGGTGGCTGTTGTACGCTCTTTCCGCTTCGTCAAATAAACACCTGTAAGAATAGCATTTATGTTAGCCTCGATTGAGTTATTGATTCTGTGGACGCGATGTACTCTGCTGCTTCAAATTGATCCAATGATACATAGTATTCTGCAATCTTTCCGCACACTGCTCCGTAACGGTGATAGAGTTGCCCGACTGTCTCCCTATAGTTAGAATATGCTTTTCGATAGGCTTCGATGCTTTCGTCAGGTCTTCCAGAGCGCGCAAGAACGAGGCCGAGGCAGTGCTGCACATATCCGAATCTAAAGGTTTCGAGGATTAGATATCCGTAGTTATAACAGGCCAGGAGAATGCCCATTATCAGAAGCATACTTGAAAGATTCATTATCATCAGGACCACAGTGCTCTTCACGCCACTTGAGAACCCCCCAACAAACCATCCTCCGCGTCCCCTGGTCTTCCAGCACCTGTGAGAGCCAGAGCGCGGTGAATATGGGGAAATGTGGGATAGAAAGTGTTGTCCAGAGTCTCTGGTCGCTTCCCGTATATTTCAATCGATTTATCACATTGCTTGACGGCCTCTTCATATTTCCCGGTTAACAGCAAGCCCAGACCAAGCGAGCTATAGGCAATGCCGGTGTCCGCACTTGCCAATTCGTTCCCGGCATCAAGGCGTAGTCGAAGATGGAGATGCTCCCGCACATGCTTGAGACAAGACTGAAATTGATTTGTCTCACTTGCAACATTGGCCAAATTAAAGGCAATGTCAGCGCGGAGGTCTAACATTGCCTCCGAATTATTCTCGCAGAGATCAACAGCAAGTGCATAGAGCGGCTTACCATCAACGAAGTTGCCGCGCTCTTGGAGGTCCCTTTTAAGATCGTATTAGTGCCATTAAATTCAGGATTTTCGAAATTATCACTCACCACCCTCCGTTTTGAAGTAATTTAACGAAGCTGCGTTTAGTGGGTAGATCGAGACGATCGAGACTGTATTTCCGTGCAATTTCAGCCAAGCGTAAAATGTGTTGACGCAGCCCTTCTTTAACCGTCCAGTGCCGTGTCTCGTGCTCGAAATTATGACTGGTCGTGGGCCAAGCAGAGAGAAGCATCCTGATAGCAAAACCGCATGTTGCAAGTCGTCGAGCGTCACTCATACGTGCGAGAACTATGTCTTGGACCAAACGGTGCATGATGACTACCTCAGTCTCCATGTTGAACCTTATCAATGATCCTTTGGCTAGCTCAGAGCGTGCCGCAATGTATTCAAGCGCATCTATAGGGAATCCAACCAAAGAAGGTTGCACGTCGGGTCGTTTTTCGGCCGATCCTTGAATAGATACGGGATGAAGACAAGCAAAAGTCTCAATGAGTGCTGTCGCTGCGACATTGAGATCGTCCAGAGCCCAAGAAGTGGCGATGGTATGACTCCACGATTCATTGGCTTCGGAAGGTGAGCGTGCAAGGAGACTCTTGTCATACAACTTGAGGAACTCTTTTAAGGACATGGACTTTCGGTAAATGTAGGCCGCAATCTTTTCAATCGCAATAGGCAGTCCATCTACCCTTTCGACAATCGCCGAGGCGTCTTGAAGGTTGATATTGCTGGCTTGTAAGTAACTCAATCGCAAAAGCAAATCTGCCCCGAATTTTGTGCTCAGGCGATCCAGAGTGATAGCGCCCTGTGACCGGAGATAATCACCAGCTCTTTCATCCCGGGTAGTTACCAGTATACAGCCTTCACTTCCCACTGGCCAATAGTCACGCAGTAACGATGCGTCTTCAACGTTGTCGAATATGAGAAGCCATGGGATCTCTCGGCCTGTTCTGTTGTCATCACTCGTGGTTGGGGCGAACTTCGGAGCAGAGAGCCATTTCATTGCCTTGCTGCGACTGACAATCAGATCAGTTTCCTCTCTGGATTTTTCGCTTTTTTCCATCGGGTCTAGAATTCCAAGCTTGGACGCAATTCCTGCAAAGTTATCAGACAGGTTTGCTGCACCATCAGCCTGAACCACAAAAACCGCGTCGAAAAACTTCCGGCGCGACCAGGCATATTCGATAGCAGTCTGTGTCTTTCCTATTCCCCCGAGTCCGCTAATCGAGCAACATGTAAGCTCGTGTGTGCTGCTACCATCGGTTGTGGCAGCTGGGTCTGGAACGATCGTATCGAAAACATGGTCGATCATATCAAAAACATCGTCACGCCCAACAAACTCCTCTTCGTGCCCGAAAGGTTCAAATTCCCAGCAGGGTCGGGACGGCAGGGTCTCTTCCTTGACATATTCGGTGGGATCTTGGGAAGGAACGTGGTCAAAGCTGGACGGGATACTAGAGCCAAGTTGTGCCTCCGGTGGGCTTTGTTTGGATTGGGGATCTAATATAATTCAGTACATCCTCCCTTGTCAGCTAGAATGCAGTACTCACTCCGGCTGACGGATGCATACGAGATTGCTCTCTTCCACAGATCAGTCGGATTTGGAGCTGTATTGTGTCAGCAATACCTAGAACCTAACGGGGTAGGATTATAGCACTACCGTTGATGGCGCTTTTAGTCATAGCTATTTGGTGCATTTGCAGTGCAGACATTAAAAGAAGTCCGATCTCCTGGTGGACTGTAGATTGAGGTTGAAAGGTGCTAATGGCATCATGGTTTGCATCACTCGGCAGAAGCTTTTCCTCCAAGGCCCAGGTCCTTGCCAATGTCTTGTCCACAAACTATAGGTAAATATAATTTGAGTCGACCGTATTGTCAACCTTATCGGATAGCGTTTACTTACGACTTCAGACCGAGAGAGCCAAAACCTTTCTTTTAGTTTGGTGGGCTTGGTTTCGTATACCGAAAGGACGGGGGCCTGGACGTCCGACTGCTCGAAATCCTCACAGATGTTGATAAGTGCCACGGAATCCAACTCCGATATTGCCAGGAACCGCTTCGGCATGCTACCAGCGTGCTTTAATAGCCATGTTACGCGTGCCCCGCTTTCTGGGTGATTTTTCTTCTTATGTGGCGTGCCGAAGAATATAATCCCGGCCAGTAGATCAACGGCCTTCCTGTTTCCGAGAGGTAAAGAAGGATTCGAGAGAATGCTCACAGCCTACATCTCGTAAGCAAGGTTCTCGAGAACTCCTCGGAGAGAGACTGTACTCTTTTGATGAGTATCCCTCCGAATCCGTGGCCGATGAATATCAATGGTTTATGGAATACCTGTCGAGGTCAGACTCGGTTAGCGATCAGGTTTCTCTGTTGCTCTCTATATCACAGTTGATCAATACTTCGTATTTAGATGCATCACGGTGGAGAATATTCAACAAATCCTCCCCTTTCTCACTGAGCTGACGCCATACTGATGTGGTACTATTGCAGTCGATACGATAGTGGAGTCGAAGGGTTTGAACTGTAGCTCCATCCTGTGGCATCATGGAATTCACCCAGTTCCAGGATTGATCTATCGGCACGCCATCCTTCTTGAAATCGGGAATAATCACAACACTTTCTGGCTAGTTAGTTGCCATACTTAGGTAGGAATCTTTCGGGTTGAACCCACATGAGCTCCGCTGCTCTGCCTTGATTGAACGGAGGCAGTGGCACGATGCTGCTTTCTTCCATCGTCGACCATAGGCCCAACCCAGCGAGATATCCTAGTTAATATAACTTCCGATATGCAATATTAGTTGAAGAAAGCGTTAAGAAAACATAAGCTTATCTTCACTCCGTACGTTATGAAGAGGGTAGTGTCAACTGCGTCTGTTTGGTGTCAGGCAGATGCGCTACAGGTGAGTCTCACAGTCGCGATTTCCCCCATTTTAAATTACAGCGTGCAATAGCGTTATTTTACAATACAATACAAATAAAATGCTGCGCAATATTATCGTTTGGATGCCATTATTAGGCAGTTAGTGACCACCAGCGAATCCTCACTGTTGTGTCCTTTTTTTACATATTTTAGCATATTCCTACTCGTGACTTGGATGGATATGTATACTAAGGTGAGCTTTGTCCACTAAAAACATCCTCAAGGCCAAGTAAAAGTACGGAGTAAGAGGATTCGTATACGGAGTACGGAGTAACTAGTTAACTAGCAACCCCCAAATACTAACACCTGAATAACACCCGCTTACCCAATTTGGCCTAGTTCATACCTAATCCGATTGAAGGAGATGTTGACCTGCTCTATGCTACGCAAATGCTGATCTCTACATAGTTATAACACATTACTTTCCAATTGAACTAGTTTCCTACTGGGTTCGTTAGGGCTGACTCAGTCCATCGATATAATAATTAACTGATTAACTAATTATTGATGCTTTTGACAGATTCTGGTGTCTTTACGGGGTAGATGGATATATATATCGCAACATTCGAGTTATCTGTATCCAAAAACTAATAATATATAATATACCATTGAGATCACATCGGTGATTCTGTAGGAGAATGACAGGAGAAAACATCTAAGGCACCTATGTGTCTAGAAGAACGTCCATTCGCATTCTCAAGAAAGTGGTCTACGGGCAGGGTGTACTTTACAATCTACATCTACAATCTAAACGGAGACCTTACGATCAACACATAATCCAAACATTGTGACACATGGCGCATATTATTGATAATACAACTGGCGAGGAAAACCAAGCTTTTATCACTTGTACCAACGTCCCCGAGAGACTCAAGCATTTACCGGTAGAAGTCAGGACTGCAAGAACCCAGTTAGTGACATATAAAACCTCAAAAATCAAACAATAAACGTACCGGTCATCATCCTGTCCAGTCTTCACCTGGACGGCATAAGCATCTTCAAGGTCGGATTGGATAATATTGTAACGGTTCTTGCGGACGGCCCGCAGACCAGCCTCCTGCATGATAGCAGCAATAACAGCACCAGACAACGGGTCGTTGCGCACAATCAAGGCGTCAAGGTCGACCTCGGGGGACAGTGACATCCTTGCCGCGATGGTTGTGAAGATCAATCGGCGCTCACGTCGGTCACGCAGGTTCGGGAACTCGATCTTCCGGTCCAGACGACCAGGACGCAGCAAAGCCGGGTCCAGGGTGTCGGCTCGGTTTGTGGCCATGATGACCTTGACGTTGCTGGTTTGTTCGAAACCGTCCATCTGGTTCAGCAACTCCAGTAGGATACGCTGAACTTCACGATCGGCACCAGTCTGGGCATCGAAACGCTTCGTGGCGATCGCGTCGATTTCATCAATGAAGATGATGGCTGGGGAGTTCTCACGAGCCATCCGGAAGACGTCACGAACCATACGAGGTCCCTCTCCTAGATACTTCTGTACAAACTCTGATCCGTTGACACGAATGAAGCTGGCGGTTGTGCTGTTGGCCACGGCTTTCACCAGCATGGTCTTTCCGGTTCCGGGGGGGCCATAGAGCAAGACACCACGAGGAGGGTCGATACCTGAAATTTGTTAGCGGACCCATTACCCGCAACGGATCTCCATAACTACCCACCAATTTGCTTGTAGAGTTCGAAATGCGTCAAAGGCAGCTCGACGGCCTCCCGAATCTCCTGTTTCTGCATATCCAAACCACCGACATCTGCGTACGTTACATCGGGCTTCTCGTTCTCACCCAGCATCGCAATAGAGGAATCAGCCTCGGGAGGAAGAATATCGACAAGGGCATTGGAGTGGCGGTGAAGGGCGACCGAGGATGAAGGCTTCAACTTCTCGCGGTCGAGAGTGGAGAGGATACGGACGACGTAATTAGAACCAGTCGAGCTTTGCACAATGCCGGTGCTAAGAGAAGTGAGTTAGCAACCGATGATCTCGCCTAGGGGTCCAGACACCAAAAGGCATACTTTTGATCGATTGCCTCCATAAATTGTCCGATGACCAATGGCACACTCTGTATGCGCTTGATCTCTTCTTGTGCCCGAACCAGCTCCCGCTTCAAGCTCCTGTATCGGACGATGGTGGTTAGCCACTGATGCGAATCTTCAATAACAGAACTCAATAAGCATACCTCTGCTCATCCTTGATGTATTCCTCCTGCAGTTGGATATACCTGTGCTCGACGTCAGTAAAGACCACTCCATCCACTAATGGTCAGACATACTCGAGATGTCTCTGTAGCCTCTTAAGGGTAGCATATTCATCATTTCCATCAGCCCCTGTACCATCGAGGGAATCCAAGTTGGCAAGGGCGTCGAGTTTGGTAAGAGGCGTGACGTTGTTCGCCGGGTACTCCACGGCAACGTCTCCCATGGTGAATACTTTGGATAGTGAGCAAGATGAGCAAGGAGAGTGTGTGTATCAGCTGGAAATGGAAGGAAATGTGATGAGCTTTGAAGATGGTTGGTGAATGACGCGCTGTGTGAAGGGCTCGGAGTTCAGCCATCTGGAGCTTTCGATGCTATGGGGCAGGAAGCTTATCCATCACGTGATGTCGACTGGTCTTGCCAACAGTTTGTATGTTGTACTCCGTAGATTTAGTTCCAGTTTGTTAGGGTCATGAAAGATATATCATAAGTCCCACATCCTGTTAGTCCCATTATTTTCTACAATACGGTGTACATGTGGTTTACTCGCATCATTCGAAGGTTAAAGATTCAATGTTGTGGCAATTATTGGCGATACGGTACACTACTAAACCAAGCGCCCGTCAACTTGCAATGCAATAATCTCGCCCAGAACTGTGGGATAAATTACACCGAACCTTGGAAATCCTTGATAGCTCTAATCATATTCCTCCTGTATCGTGCCCAGATACCCAATATGTACCAATCTTGTCCAGGTGAGTGTATCAATCCAAATTTATGGTCAGACGCTAGCGGCTACTGCGGAATATGCAGCCTTAGAGCCAATAACGAGGATCTCACGCTCTGCCTGGGGTATTTGTTTCATCTAGTGACATGTAGATACACAACGTATGTCAATTTGGACACCTGATCAGGTTCGACGTGGGATAATATCATATTGAACCGCCATGCGCAAGGGCCTTTAGACAGTTACAAGCATCCGTCCCCTTGGAGTTAGTCATGACCTCAAGCTTGCCCCCGAAGCCCTACAGAAGGGAAATGAAGAAAAGTTGATCCAATCATCTCTAGTGGTGGAGTAGGCCGAGACACGGTAGGTGGGACAGGCACCAAAGCCGTCATGATTTCCCACGCGGATCGAGTCGGATCCTAGCACGGGGGTGACTAGAAAACCCAGGTCAATCCACTCTTAGTTGTTAACCTCGAATTTTTGGTGATTTCGGAGGATTGGGCGCGCATCGACATGATTATCAGACGCTAGCCCGAGCTTTATATAAGGAGAACCGCTGGCCACCGTCGCGGCTCTAGATCTTTTCTCTCTCTTTCTCTCCTCCATTATTTCTTTTCCCCTTCCCCCAGATGATGGTCTGAAAATACTCCATTTTCCATGGCAATTTTTTCCCATTGGGATTTATCCCTAGGGTGGCTGCTAACCTCAGGCCATATCGGGGTTGGAGTATACGATCTAACCTGACTCGGGCAGACCGTTGGAATGGATCATCGTTTCGCTGATTCACCAAATCCGAGGGGAAGATGGGAATTTTTATGAGAATTTTCTCTCAGAAAGAGAATTTCCTTCATATTATCACTATTGCCTGGCTTTTCCCATTATTTTCCCCTATGTGTGGCCAGTCTCTTTCATATGCAGGTTGAGGCTGGCAACACCCGCTCTGAACAAGATAACTAAACCCAATGGGAAATCCAGACCCAAAGGGGAAAAAATGAACGCCCAAAAAAGAGAAAGAAAGAGACGAGCGAGAAAAGACGAAGAAAACTGCAGCAGGACGAGATTCTAAAAGACAAGAACTAACCCAGTAACACAAGTAACCCGCACAAGACTCCGGGTTGATGTTACTGAAAGCTCTGACCTGTCAGTAATTTTCCCTCTCCTCTCTCCACTTCCCCCTTCATCCCTAACTGAACGGATGTGAATTGGTAAGTACACCATT